AGCATTTGGGGCACTTGCCTTGCACGCGGCTGGATCCTGGGCATCCTTTATGGTCCCCTAAGTACAACCAGTGATGTCGGAGGGCACCCATGGGGGACTTATCTGAGGCGGGGAGGAAAGAGATGGTCACTTTCTTCCAGTCTTCCTCTGCCACCCTGAGACCCAGGGTTACTGGGTTCCTGTCTTAACTCGCAGAAAAGAAATTTCAGGAATAGACAAGCAGTGAAGTAAAACAGATTTTACTTATAGGTTTTTGAAAAGGAGGAAGAAAAAGCGGGAGAGAGTAACTCATGCCAGAGAATGCGAGCTTCCCCAGAGGCGGAGGAGCCCCTACACACAATCCAACATTAGATATAAAAACATGAAAGCACACATCTCAGGAGGGGAGATGAGGGAGACAGACATGGTCAACCATGTGGGCACAGGCAGCACATGGGCTTTTATAGGGTTTTTCCAACCTGCCCCCACAGTGGGGCTTCTACCTAGATCAAAATCAGTTGCTAGGGAGGTTGCCCAGGGTGGTAGGGTTGGGAGTGGTGGATGGTCTTTGAAATTCCTTTCCTGGCCTTGTGTTTCTGCTGGAGTTTCTCAGGGGATGTCCATAGCCTTCTCCCTATTTTCTGCAAAAAATTTTTTTGCAGCTTTTTTTTTTTTTTTTTGCTTTTTGGATCACACCCAGTGATGCACAGGGGTTACCCCTGGCTCATGCACTCAGGAATTACTCAGGAATTACTCCTGACGGTGCTCGGGGGACCATATGGGATGCTGGGAATCGAACCCAGGTCTGCTGCGTGCAAGGCAAATGCCCTACCCGTTGTGCTATTACTCCAGCCCCAGCTTAATTTAAAACTTATTTAGAAAAATGTGAGGGGAGGAAAGAGTTCAAGGTATCAGTTCAAGAGAGAACAGAGGCGTCTCCAGAGAGAAAATAAGCAAGCAAAAGAAACACAAGCAAACAAGATTTCATACTGTGTGAATATACACAGGCTTGAAGAGCAAGTTCGTTTGATTCTAGTCTCAGCCATTTGAAGTGCTAAGAGTAGAACCCGAATTGGCGGCGTGCAAGGCAAGCAGGCGTCCCACCTGATGTATTATCTCGCCGGCCCCATAGTTTGCGACTTGGGGTCGTGGTTTTTCAAAATCCGTTTCCAACTTTTCCTTGTAGCTGCTCCTAGCGGCTTAGACGCAGGCGTGTCCGGGCGCGGCGGCGCGCTTTGTAGTCGTCACAGCTGCACGTAAATGATTGGCTATTCCGCCATAGTATGTTAATGAGCGATAGATCGAAATTTCTTTGAAATTAACTAGGGTATTTAATAAGGTGTCTTTGTAGGGTTCTGGCAAAAGGAATAATTCGTTAAGAAAATATTTTAAGTCACATCTTTTTTTAAAGAGTGTCCTCGTAAAGTTCACCATTAGCAAGATGTGTATGCATTTTGTACACTCAAGGAACGCCGCGAGCTGGACTTTTAAGGCTATACTTTCAGGGATCATTTCTATAGTATGTTACTAGAGAAGTTTCTCTGATCGTGTAGAGCACCCGAAACCACGAGGAGGAGTCAGAGCATCCTCTCCTGAGCGTGAAGCCGGCTCTAGGTGTTGCTTCTGCAACTGCCTTTTGCCATTGATGATCGTTCTTCTCTTCCTTTGGAAGAGCGAGAGGGGGAGGATGCATTCTGAGTGGTTTCGTAATATAGTATACTTGTGGTTTTATCTATGAGATCTTGACTTGGCCCAGTTTCAGTGGCTCTTTTAGGGTGTGCATTTTCAGTGGGGCGGACTATGGCGTTATGCTGTTTTTGACCTTCTAGTATAGTTTTGTCTTAGTGAGGTTTCACAATAAATGTTTGTTGATAAACCCTAATGTTGGGGACCAAGTTAAAGCTGTTGTTATGCAGAAATTTTGTATGCATCATCTTTATGTAGCATTTGTCTTGCTTGGGGTCTTACGTATCCTTTTGGTTGTATTGTCTTTTTTTTTTTTCAAATCCAAATTTGAGACCCTACTGGGAGGTACTCAAAGGTTACTCCTGGCTGGCTCCGCACTCAGGGATCGCTCTAGGCTAGGCTATATAGCGTGCCAGGGATTGAAACTGGGTCAACTGCATGGGAGCCAGGGATCAAACCCAGGTGATCCACATGCAAGGCAAACCCCCTACCCACTGTGCAATCTCTCTGCCTCCAGATTGTAACGATTTCCATCTGTTTTACTGTATTGTTACAATTATTATGATGACTAGGGAGAGTGGAGTGGGCCACAGCCAGTGGTGCTACTGGCTCAGTGCTTAGGGGTTTCTCCCGCCAGTGCCCCAGGCAAGATAAGGCCTTAATCTCTGTACCCAAATCTATTTTGAATGTTAGCTTGGGGGGGCGGACAAGGAGAGTGGGTGGAAGTGAAGGCTTCTGGGACCCGGCTGGAAGGTGTTGCCCATACAGCAGGGGATCATCCCAGGTGATTTATGTGAAGTGGGAAGGTAGGTAGAGGCAGTAGCCTCAAGAAGAAAATCTGCTTTCTTTCCCCCCGGAAGTGCCTGGGAGTGTATTTCACAGCCGTCAGACTGCACCTGGCATCCTCTTGCTCTGCCTGTTACAGTGTGGGAGATGACCCTTTCCACCTGATTTCTCCGGGAAGCCCTGGGCTTAGGGTGCAGCATGAATTGCTCTTTGCGGTAAAGGACGGTCGGCCTGAGACTGTGCCCAGGCCTTTTCATCTTCTTGCCCTTTGAAAAGAATTTTGGAGTAGACATATGGTGAAATTTGGACAAACTGGCAGGCTACCGAATGTAACCTGCCCACACGTCAGAGTCTGGCAAACTTCCCGTGGTGTACCCAACATGCCAAGTACCAGTAACAATGATGGCTCTCATTCTCCTAACCCCGAAAGAGCCTTGAATAGGGCACTTTTTAAAAAATCTCAGGGGTAGGACGAAGGAGACGTTACTGGGGCCTCCTCGAGGCAATCGACGGACAACAACAGGATGGTCGTGATCGATCGTGTATTGTCTTAGTGCTAAGCATAACAACCATTTATTCCATTGTTCTAGTTTGTGCTTCCACTGGGTTGACCTGGGTTTTATCCTGGCACCTCATATATAGGTTCCCTGAGGGGGCGGGATGGGAGAGATAGTGAGAGCATTGGAGGTGGGGAATGGGCACTCTTGGAGGGATGGGTACTCGATCATTGTATAACTGAAACCCAAGCACGAAAGTCTGTAAGTCTACAACTGTACCTCATGGTGTTTTACTAATAAAAATTAAAAAAAAAATAATTGAATACAGATCCAGGTATAACCCTTGAGCATCAGCTGGGTGTGGCCTCAAAACACAAAAGCATTCTTATTCTCAAGCAGTCAAAAAGGAAGGGGTAGGAGAGCAAATGGCCAAAATTAGTGTAAGACTATTGGTGCCAGAGCAGTAGTACAGCCGGTATAGGGTGTTTCTTGCACGCAGCCAACTTGGGTTTGATCCCAGGCATCCCATATGGTCCCCCAAGCACTGCCAGGGAGTTCCTGGCATGCAGGGTCAGGAATGTGACTCCCCCCCCCCCCAAAAAAAAAAATAAGAGTATAAGACTGTAGTGAAAAGAAAGGCACTCAGCTGATGATCCCTGAGCCCAGAGGCAGTAAGCCTGGGGTACCACCAGATGTGGCCAAAGGGAAAAAAAAAATTAGAAAACTGATTGCTGACAGGGCACACCCTTTGTCTTAAAACTGTCTGGAAGTGCCTTCAGGGACTGAACCAGATATTCTGATTGGCTGTCGGTTCGCGATAGGATAATTAAGACTGAAGTGCTATTTAAAAAAATTCCCAGGAGATTTCAAATTTTATTTTAAAACTACACAAAAATAAAACTTGAAGATGCATTTTTAAATGATATTTTTGAAGGAGAATAACTTCAGTTGTGGGGGGTGGCCAGAGGGGAATATCACCACAACTAAAATGAGAGTGGCTTCTGTAGACCCAGCAGCTCCTGGCTGACCAAAATAAGACTATACTTTCAGGGATCATTTCTATAGTATGTTACTAGAGAAGTTTCTCTGATCGTGTAGAGTACCCGAAACCTCGAGGAGGAGTCAGAGCATCCTCCCCTGAGCGTGAAGCCGGCTCTAGGTGTTGCTTCTGCAACTGCCTTTTGCCATTGATGATCTTCTCTTCCTTTGGAAGAGTGAGAGGGGGAGGATGCAGGCTGAGTGGTTCTGGTTTCTTAACTGGTTCTCCGCTTTATTTTTATGTATGCTACTTGGGCAGTTAATATATTTGGGCGTTGGTTTTTCTTTGGTAGCTTTCAGGGGTGCTACTTTCAGTGTAACATTCTACCCTGTAAGTTTATGGTGGGGTGCTACCAAGGTACATGGCTTTAAAGTTGGCGGTAAATCTGTTTTTGGGGTTTATGTACAATTCTTCTCTATGGCACTTCTAGAGTTTCTTTTCTCTAGATGTCTAAATATAGTATTTTCAGTTTCTGAATTGCCCTTGGTAGTATTTTTATTTCCACCACACCTTCAGATATGGGGGCTGAAGTCTATCTGAGTGGGAAGAGGTATTCTGTGGGAGCGACCTCTTGGGACCATGTCGGACTGTGCAGTCATTAGAAGGGAGACTGGGACAGACACTTTAGCCACTATTCTTCAAACAAATTTTTGGGGGAGGCGATTTTGGTTTTGGGGCCACATTTAATGATGGTGCATACAGTTTCCTGGCAGCACTCAGATAGGGTACGTGCAAGGCTAGTACCTTAATTCTGGAAAAATTGAGTTTTTAATAAAACACTGGTCCCCTGACCAATAAGTCTGTGACCTTTTGTATTAAATCAAGACGTTTAATTTCCTAATCAAGACTTTTAGTTCCTAATCCAAGCTTTTGATTTCCTTTCTAAAAGATTGTTTGCAGTGGTAATACAGAAAAGTGCTGTATAGTTTTTTCCCCCCTCTCAAATGAATTTCCCTTGTTTTATTTCACAATTTTTAAAAATATTTGCATTCATAGTGATTTTTGTCTTGCAGGAATTTATGTTGATGCAATTAATTCACTGGGCCAGACACCACTTTTTGTTGCAGCATTATTAGGCCTTACAAAATTGGTTGATGTTCTGGTGGATTATGATTCAGATCCAAATCAGTAAGTATAATAAAAATCTATATTTACAAAACAAGTATTCTAAGATAGTGTGGAACACTTAGACATATATTTGACAGAGTATTGGATGAAAGGAACCATAGTACTGTAGCACTTTCGTCCCCTTGTTCATCGATTTGCTTGAGCGGCACTAAGTAATTTCTCCATTGTGAGACTTGTTACTGTTTTTAGCATATCGAATGCCACGAGGAGCTTGCCAGGCTCTGCCCTGCAGGCCAGATAGAATCGACCCTACCTGCTGTGTTATTGCTCCAGGCCCTCCTCTGTAATCCTCCCCCTTTACCTTCCCCTATAACCCTCCCCCCTATAATCCGCCCCTTTACCCTCTACTCTCCCTTGTAACCCTCTCCCTGTAACCCTCTCCCATTCATTATGTCAATGAAATGTGATAATATGTGTCACTGTCCACTGTCCTCCCGTTGTTCATCGATTTGCTCGAGCGGGCCCAGTAACGTCTCCATTGGAAACTTTTGTTGTTACTGTGTTTGGCATATCGAATACATCATGGGTAGCTTGCCAGGCTCTGCCGTGCGGGCGAGATACTCTCGGTAGCTTGCCCGGCTCTCCGAGAGGGGCAGAGGAATGAAACTCGGGTTGGCCATGTTGGCTGCGTGCAAGGCAAATGCCCTACCGCTGTGCTATCACTACAGCCCAATGATATGTGTAAAAGTAAAGTAAAGTAAAGGCCCTCCCGTTGATCGTCGATTTGCTCGAGCGGGCCCAGTAACGTCTCCATTGGAGACTTTGTTGTTACTGTGTCTGGCATATCGAATACTCTCGGTAGCTTGCCGGGCTCTCCGAGAGGGGTGGAGGAATCGAACTCGGGTCGGCCATGTTGGCCGCTTGTAAGGCGAACGCCCTACCCGCTGTGCTATCGTTCCAGCGATATGTGTATATCGAGATAATTTTATACACATGATATGTGTATATCGAGATAATTTTAGCTTCTAATAGAGACATTTCTAGGGGCCAGAAAGATGGTACAGTGGATAAGGTGCCTGCATCACACATTCCTGACCCAGGCTCAATCCCCATCAGCACATATGGTCCTCCAAACCCCTTCGTGAGTACAGAGCCAGGAGTAAGCCCTAAGCACAGCTGGGTATGGCCTGAAAGCCCCCAGTTTCTTTCTTTTGTAAGCAGTTTTACCAGGTGCCATGAAATGTTTAAGTGAAAACATTTAATTAATCAGTCATTAATTAATGATTTGCATCTCTGGATTATAATGTATATATTGCACAGTTTAATAGACAAGTTCATCACAACACATATACGTACACACATACCTATATAATTTAAAGTACATATTGAAAAAAAATTTTGTGTCAGGGTTCAAATCCAGGGCCTCACACATGCAAGGTAAGCACTTAACCACTGAGCTTCATTACAACTGATTTCTTCACCAATTACTGAACTGGCCAAGGGGCAGAAAATAACCTGGGTTTGCTCTATCTATAATCTAAATCTGATTTCACTATCACTATCACCCCGTTCATTGATTTGCTTGAGCGGGCGCCAGTAACGTCTCCATTTGTCCCTGTCATGTGCTAGTGTAGTCCGATGACATACTGGGGGCTCTTTCAGTGTCGGGAATGAGGACCATCATTGTTACTGTTTTTGGCATATCGAGTACGCCACGGGCAGTTTGCCAGGCTCTTCCTATATCTAATTTATATCTATACATTATGCATTTTTTGGAGGGGTAGTCCCATCCAGTGACCGTCAGGGGATTACTCCTGGCTCTGCATTCAGGAATTACACCTGTTGGTGCTCAGAGATGCTGGGGTCAACCATATGCAAAGCAAGTATCTTCCTGCTGTACTATCTCTCCAGCCCCAATATCCACATATATGCGTAACAAGTCTTAGGAAGACTTTCCACTAGCTCTTCTAGTTGTGGTTTAAGTGAATCTAAGTTTAGAACTGGGACCATAGATTCAATTCTGGTACTCAGAAAAAAATCATATTTAATAATTAGTTCAGGGACTGGCAAGATGGTACAGAGTTTAAGGCAAGTCCTAGTTTGATTCCCTAGTACCACTCATGATCCTCTGAGCACTGCCAGGAATGATTTCTGAGTGCAGAGACAGAAGTAAGCCTTGAGCACTTAAAAAAAAATTGGTTTAGATTTTGATATGAAATGGATGAAATGGCAACAAGTGTAATGAACCAGCATTGCACAGAAACAGTCTGCACGCGCTCTCTCTCTCTTTCTCTCTACCCTCCTTCCTCCCTCCCCCCTTATTTTTTGGCTCACACCCAGTTAGCTCAGGTCATATTTCTGGCTCCGTGCTCAGGGATCACTCCTGATAGGCTTAGGGGACCATATGGGGTGCTTGAAATTGAACCCTTAACCACTGTACTATCTCTTTGGCCCCTGGTTGTTATTTTTCTTGTATATAGTAGATCTTTGACCAGATTGCTAATTCCAAGGTTTTGTGGCTTCTTATTTTAGTATTTAGTATTTGGGAGATAAGAGACAATCTCACAGAAGCTAGATAATCCCTTGTTTAGCTGGATTTAAGCAGCCTGACCCCAGGGTGCGACCAGACTTGAAGAAATTGTTCAGGGCTGTTCGTTGATGGGACAGGAAGATACTAAATTTGGAACAAGATCCCCATACCTTGGTGTGAATCTCCACTGTGCATTTTAGTTTCTTCCTCCCTGGGAAGGTAGAGATCAGAATGGAGAAAGGGAATTGTGTAAAAAGCTGCTGTTGGCACTGACCAGAAGCCACACAAATGCCATTATTATAATCCATGTCACCAAAGCCTGCCTTTGTGGAAAGAGGTCTCTGCTCCCCATCAAATCTCCCACTTCAGAACTACTGCACGTGTGTGTGTGTGTGTGTGTGTGTGTGTGTGTGTGTGTGTGTGTGTCTCGGTGTGTATCTGACTTTTTTTTCCTTTTAAATTATTAGTTAAACACCATGAGGTACAGTTGTAGACTTACAAATTTTTGTGCTTGGGTTTCAATTATACAATGATTAAGTACCCATCCCTCCACCAATGCCCTTTACCACCACCACGGATCATGGTACCCCCCCCCCCCCCCCGTCCCACCCATGGCAGGGCATTCCCTTTTGTTCTCTCTCTCCTTTTGGGTGCTGTGGTTTGCAAAAGAGGCATTGAGTGGCAATCATAGAACGACTGCACTTTAGTATTGCCATGGGCATTAATTAAATCTCCCTACCTATTCTAGCCGCTGCTTTGACGGGAGCACCCCTGTCCATGCAGCAGCATTTTCAGGGAATCAGTGGATCCTCAGCAAACTGCTGGATGCAGGGGGTGACCTTCGACTGCATGACGAGAAGGGTCGGAACCCACAGACCTGGGCCCTGGCGGCAGGGAAGGAGCGCAGCACACCGGTAAGGGTGGGTCTGCTCTGTAGCACCTCAAGGTAGAGCACTGGGCTGGGCATCTGGGGATCAGTAGCCTTACTGTTGACTGGACACACAGTCAGGGTAACTGGGGTGAAACTGTAGGCAAGTCTAATGAATCTTACTAGCAGTACATTCAGCAGGGAGGGAAACCAATTGCAATTTGTCAGACCCTCAACTAATAATTACTCTGCATCAAGTATTTTGAATTAAATTCCTTAAGTTCCTCATTTTCTTCTTGCTGCTGCCCTCTCAGATAGCCCCCGATGGTCCCCGGTTTACAGATGGGGATAGTAATTTGAAGCCAAACACTAGCAGGCATGAAGTATTCTAATGAAGCCTAAATAAGAAATGTGAAACCCAAAGGGCATGCACAAGTGCTGGGGACTTGGAGAGAAAGAAGGCAGGCAGGTGGAGAGAACCCCATGCCTTCCCTTTGGTTTTCCTGCTCATTGGCTGTTGGATCTTGGACAAATAATTTGGCCAAATCCTCTCCCTGAGAACTTGCTCTTCCTTTAGAAAATAAATTGGGCTTCTCATTTTTGTAGAGTTCCCTGGGTGGTTCTTGCCACCCTCTCCCATTTGCCTTCACTCCCCAAACCTCTGTTCTTGCCGAAAACCTGGACTCACTAGCCAGCTGGTTCTGTGCATGTCTGTGTTGCAGATGGTGGAGTTCATGCAGCGCTGCACCTTACACATGCAGGCCATCCTCCAGGGCTTCTCCTATGACCTCTTGAAGAAGATTGACTCTCCTCAGCGACTCATCAGCAGCCTGCCAGGCTTTGGGGGCCTTATACAGAGGTGAGCACTTCCCCCTGTGGACGTGGAAATCTAGCTTCAATCCTGCTTTCCTCCTGGGAAACCTGCAGCATGGGCTGCCATCCCCCCTAACCTCCTCCCCCACCAGCATCTGCCCACACAAAGCAGTGAGGTAGAAGGAGAGGCTCTGAAGCTTCCTGCCATCTCCCTGCTCCAGTGATGAGTGCTGGCTCCAAGTGGTCAGCTCAAATAGGAGGTTCCATCAGTAAGTGGACAGGCTTTTATTTATTTATTTATTTTTGATGTTAGGACCACATCAGGTGGTGCTTAGGGTCTACTCCTGACTTTGCAGTCTGGGATCAATTGTGGTAGTACTTGGAGGAGCCTTATGCAGGGCCTGGGTATTGAACCCAGTCGGGCCACTTGCAAGGCAAGACCCTTACCCACTGTACTCTCTCTAGCCTTTGCAGTTGGTGTTAATTAAGCCACAACCAGGTGTGAGCCATCAGTGGTCTGTACCGGTATCAGTCTGTTGAGTAGAACTCAGACCCTCAAAAAGCCTCCCAGAGGGGAAGGAGAGGGCCTTGTCAGGGCTGCTGGTACCCTCCTTCTTCAGCGCTGCTCATCATCAGTTCTCAGTTTCCCAGAGAGGGAAAGCCCTTCTAGATCTTTGAGTCCTAACATGGTGGACTTGTTTCTAGAGGTCTTGTTTCTAGAGGTGATTGAGGATAGAGTCAGTCTCATGTGGGCCAGGAATTGGGGAGTGGATGAACTGGACGCTTCTGGCTCAGGTTTTTCATGGAGCTGCAGTGGTAGCCTGTGTAGACGTTCCTGGGCCTGGAGGTTCCATCTCTGAGGTGGCGGCACATGCCCATTGGCTGGTGCTGGTGCTGGTGTTGGGCCTCTCAGAGTCGACCTGAGTATCCTCACAGCATGGGGCCTTCTGGAATAAAGTGGTTCAAAAGGAAACTGGGAAGAAGCTTAGGTTCTAGCCTCTTGTCATTTCCACAGTATCCTGTGGGGTTAACAGGTCATCCCTTTATGATGTGAGAGGGGCTGTACCAGGACAGTGGCTACTGGGAGGAGGGAATCATGGGTTCTCAGAATTAGCTGCTTTAAGAACTGTGCTCTCATTCCATAATGAGAAGTCCAATAGTAAACACAAAACCAACTACACATTCTGAAAACTTGCTTCTGTGTGGTCCTCTGGAATGGAAGTTAATCTTTACTTTTTTTTCTTTGTTTAAATATTCTAGAAGCCCTAGTAGTTCTCCTATCCGAACACTTAAAGCTGGTGTCATTTCTACACAAAATATCTACAGCTTTGGCTTTGGGAAGGTAAGAGGTTGCCCGAGACCAGCCTGCATTTGCATGCCTAAACCCCACCAGCCATGGCCCGCCCCCACCTCCTCCTGAAGGGCTTTTCTCCTTTGCAGGATGAGTCCCTCTTAGTCTTCCTATTCTTTTTTTTTTTTTTTTTTGGTCACACTCAGCGATGCACACGGGTTACTCCTGGCTTTGCACTCAGGAATTACTCCTGGCGGTACTCGGGGTAGCATATGGGATGCTGGGAATCGAACTTGGGTCCGCCACATGCAAGGCAAACGCTCTAACTGTTGTGCTATTGCTCCGGCCCCAGTCTTCCTATTCTTAACTGGAAGATGATTAAAAACCCTGGAAGACTCCCTCGAAGAGCTTAGAGCTAGATTTGGAGCTTTTAGAAAATGACCCTGTCGGGTGCCCTGAAGATCCAGGCTTGCTCTCCATGAGAAGAGGTGGAGAGCTGCACTGACCCTGGGTGCCTCCTTTGTGGTTGGTCTTGCCTGCCCAGGTTTATCAGGATGATTGGAATGTCTTTAAGGAGTGAGCTATTCAACTGAGAGATGTTTTGAGGAAAATAGCATCTTTGGAGTCCCTGGTTCTGCCTAATGGAGAGAGTGGGGAAATACTGATAGGGACTGACCACTCCACGCCCCCCAGCTCCGAGCAGTTATGCAGAGGCAGCCTGATTGGGAGTTGGGGAGAAGGTAGTTGGTTCTGGCTCTATATTGGCCTGAGTTTTGTGGGGGCCACATGAAGCCCCTAAAGCCATACTGATGCTTCAGTCAGGCATCTGACCTCTTTCCAAGAGCTTCAGCTTCCTCACTTTTGTTTGTTTTAGATTTTGTTTTGGGCCACATCTGATGTGCTCAGAGCTTTCTCCTGACTCTGCACTCAGGGATCACTCCTGTAAAGCTCAGGGGACCATATGGGGTGCCGGGGATCAAACTCAGCTGCGTGCAAGGCAAAGACCCTGCCTGCTATACTGTTTCTCTGCCCCCCCCCCCTTTTTTGTTTGGTTTTGGGCCATCCCTGGCGGTGCTCAAGGTTTACTCCTGGCTCTGCTCAGGAATCACTTTTGGCGGGTTCAGGGGACCATTTGGGATGCCAGGAATTGAACCTGAGACAGCCACATACAAAACAAAACAACAGCCCCTGCTGCCCCCAAATTTAAGGCTATCTTTGTTTTCAGTTTTATCTTACAGGGGGCACACAACTGGCCTATCTCGGCTCTCTTCCGGTGGTTGGAGAGAAAGAGGTGACACAAGCTGATGATGAACCCACCTTTTCTTTCTTCAGTGGCCCCTACATGGTTATGACCAAGTAAGTGGACAGGGGTTCTGATTCAAGCCGTTAGGAAGAAGGGTGATCTCTTTATGTTAGGGGGGATTCTGCCCAGACACATAGAAACACTGAAGAACTGGTGTTTAAATTAGGGTCTCTGAACCTGGACACGGCTGGCATTTTTTTTTGTTTGTTTTTAGTTTTGGCTCTTAGGGCCACATCCAGCATGCTCAGGAGTTATTCCTGGCTCTACACTCAGGAATTACTCCTGGCAATGCTTGGGGAACCATATGGGTTGCCAGGGATTGAACCCGGGTCGGCTGCCACATGCATGGCATTACTGTACTACCTTACCTGCTGTACTGTCGCTCCAGCCCCTCACTGGCATTTTTGGGAAGACACCCTTTGCCACTTCTCTCTTGGGCTTTTGGCGTCCTTGAACCTGGAAGTTTTTCCCTGCTCAGGAAAAATATTCTTCTGTTTTTTTTGTTTAGTTTTGGGGCCACAGTACGCCTCACTCTGCACTCAGGGATCACATTCCTGCTGGCCTTGGGGGACCATGTGGGGTGCTGGAGACTGCACCCAGATTCATGGAATGCAAGACAAGTGTCTTACCCACTGCACTATCTCTGGCCCCAGGAGAAGCCTTCTTTTAAAAAGGCCTCTCTTGGCTTGCTCCTCAAGCCCTTTTCGCTTGAGTACATTCTCTCATTTTCATATTTCTCTGCTTGCCTGTTTCCTCTCTGGAGAAGCCTGTGTTCTCTGTTCTCTGTTGAACACACACTTCTCCCTTTCTCCTCTCCCCTCACATCATTCTAAATAAGTTTGAATAAAATTGATGTCGGTGGACCCCACAGGTGGCTCACGTGAGTAGAGAGGAGAAAGACAGTCACTTTCTCCCCATCTGCCTCTGCCACCTGGGACCCAGGGTTCCTGGGTTCTTATCTTGCTCTGCTTGCAGAAAGGAATTTTAGGAGTAGACAAGCAGTGAAGTAAAACAGATTTTATTTGGAGGGTTTTATGGTGTGGAGGGAGACAGGGTGAAAGAGAGAGTAACACACTCAAGAGATAACGCGGGCTTCTCCAAGGGCAGAGAGAGCCCCTACACATATTCCAGCATTAGACACGAAAGCGTGAAAGTACACATCTCAAGAGGGGAGATGCATCAGGTCAATCTGTACATGTGAGGTGAGTGCATCAGCAGCCTCATGGCGCCATCAGGCTTCCAGATACCCCAAAATTGCTATTGTGCCTTTGGCCGGACCCCAAAAACTTGGGGCAAAGTTTACCAAGAAAGTAAATGGCCAAATGTTAGGTATGTGGGGGACCACCCACAAACCACCTCGGGCTCAGCTATATAATTGGAGGCATGGCCTCACTGGTTCCTGATCGGACTGCTTAACAGCCATGATCCCAGAGACTCAGAAACAAATCTTGAAACCCAACGGCTTTTGGCAGAAATGTGTCTGGTCCCTGCAGTAGATTACTGGCACTGGGCCAACCCAGGTGGGAATAGTTTCATGCCTTGGCCTGTTCCCCCTGGCAGCCCAGTGGCCACTAGAGAGTCAGGTTTGGGACCGCAGTGATGAGACACGCGGAGCCTCACGGGATGGGGGTGGAGCTGGCCCTTTCTTCCCCACCCCAACGACATCCCAAGTCGCTGCCCACGAACGGCCTCTCTGGCTCCTGATCAAGCTGCTTAACGGCCATGATACTAGAGACTCAGAGGCAAATCTTGAAACCCAGCGGCTTTTGGCAGAAATACGTCCGGTCCCTGCACTAGGTTACCAGTGCTGGACCACCCCAGGTGGGAATGGGTTTCATGCCTTAGCCTGTTCCCCCTGGCGGCCCAGTGGTCGCCATCCTCCAGAGGCCACTGGACAGTGAGGTTTGGGCCTGCAGTGATGAGACACGTGGGGTTTCACAGGAATGGGGGTGGACCCGGCCCTTTCCTCCCCACCCCAACGAGACCCCGAGTCGCCGCCCACGAACAGCCTCGCTGGCTCCTGATCAAGCTGCTTAATGGCCATGATCCCAGAGACTCAGAAACAACTCTCGGAACCTAGTGGCTTTTGGCAGAAATGTGTCCAGACCCACAGTAGGTTACTGTAGCCAAGCCACCCCAGGGGGGAAAGGGTGCTGTCCCTCTACCTGCTCCCCCTAGGTGGCTTGGTGGCTGCCATCCTCCAGAGACCATGGGACAGTAAGGTTTGGGTCCTCAGTGAGGAGACTTGCAGGGCCTCACAGGATGGGGTGGAGCCGGCCCTTTCCTCCCCATCCCAAGGAGACCCCAGTCGCCGCCCATGAATGGCCTTTCTGGCTCCTGATCAAGCTGCTTAACGGTCATGATCCCAGAAACTCAGAGACAAATCTCAGAACCCAGCAGGTTTTGACAGAAATCCCTCCAGATTTAATTGTTAAAATTTTGGAATTTCAGAATTGCGCGACCACTACTGCAGCCACGCGACATCATATGTTAACCATCATATCTTAACCAGCAATAGAAAACAAATTGTCTACTGTTGCCTTTTCAGCAGATCTGAGTGTTGAGGTCACTGTCACAGTCCTCCTGTTGTTCAATGATTTGCTCGAGTGGGCCCGGTAATGTCTCTATTGTGACAATTATTACTGTGTTTGGCATCTCGAATACATCATGGGTAGCTTGCCAGGCTTTGCCTCATGGACGAGATACTCTTGGTAACTTGCTAGGCTCTCCGAGAGCGGTGGAGAAATCGAACTCAGGTCGGCCATGTTGGCCGCTTGCAAGGCAAACACCCTACCCGCTGTGCTATCGCTCCAGCCCAGTGTTGGGATAAAATCCCAAATAATGTGCTTCTGGTGTCAAAATATTGAATGTGATCAAAGTAGAGAGAGAATAATATGGAAATCATCTGCCCCACAGTAGGGGAGGGTGTAGGATGAGGGTATTCTGGGGTTTTTGGTGGTGGAGAACGGGCACTGGTGAAGGTATGGGTGAATCGTTGTGTGACTGAGACTTAAACCTGAAAGCTTTGTAACTGCTGTCACAGTGATTCAATAAATAAAAGTATAAAAAATGAAGACAAAGAAAAGTAAGGTGGAGTTCTTGCCCAATTCAATCAGCTAATCATTGGCTGAATAAATAGCAGTACTCCTACATAAAAAAATTTTTTTTAAAAATAAAAAAGAGGGGAGATGCACGTGATGCATGTGCTCGGGTACCACATGTGCTAGGGCCACATGGGCACAAGCAGCACATAGGCTCAGGCAGCATATGTGCGCCCAACTTTTATTCAAGGTGGCCTTTATAGGGTTTCTCCAACCTTCCCCAGTGTGGAGCTTCTTCCCAGGTAATAGTCCATTGCTGAGGAGGTTAGCAGAGACGTTGGGAGTGGTGATGGTCCTCTTTGGGCTGAATCACTAAAGTTAATCAGATTGAGGGAGAGGTCCGAGAGAATTCGAGGAATTTCCCTCATGGGGTGGGGTCCAATCTCCTCCTGGTCCTCTGCTCAAGGTCTTATCTGTATCCACAAAGTGGATCAGCCTTGAAATTTTCTTTCCAGAACTTTTGCTGGCCTGTTTCATTGTCCAGGACCTTTCCCTATCTACTTGCCTACATAAAAAATACTCGGCTTCACCATTTCACTTCTTTCGGAAATTCTTTTCTGTGAGGGAAGGGCGACAGACCCGCAGCATCTCTGCTGAGGTTGAGACTGACCTACTCTAGGCCAGGCATTCCCTGAGCTCTGGTAGCTGAGGTGGGATGAGCAGAGAGGTGCAGAGTGCAGACACGCTCTTGAGTCTCCCTCCCTTACTGCCCTGGGCTACCACAGTGCTTCCATCAGCTCTGCAGAGTGCCTGCTTTCACTGTACTGTTACCACAAATGTTTCTATCTCTCAGCCTTGGCTGAATATAGGGATGATACAATTTTTACTCATCAGTGAAGGCTTACTTTAAAGTCTGGCTTTGGTGCTGAATAAATGAATAAATAATGAATACATGAACACTGTCAGGACCAGCAATACTAACACAGTGAATGTCTTAAAACCCTAAAATAAGAAATAAAAAAAAAACTCTCATAGGCTGGAGCAATAGGATGGTAGGTAGGAAGCCTGCCTTCCACACGGCTGACCTGGGTTCAATCTCAGCATTCCATATGTCCTCTGAGCACCACCAGGTGTGATTCCTGAGTACAGTGCCAGGATTAACCCCTATCATTGCCAGGTGTGACCCAAAACACAAGAAAATAAAGTCCTCTTTCAGACTTCCTGGGCTCTCTCCATCCAGCTGACACTTGCCTTGTTTTCCTGGCCTGTTTTACTTGTTTCCTCCGCCCTGTCCACTTCTTTGGCATTTGCCGAGGTGATCACTGTCTGTCACCTGTACTGGCCTCCCATTTTCCGAACCCCACCCCCCTTGCTCGTTGCCCCTCCCCCATAGGGTGGTGCCGTTTTCTGCCAGAAATACTAACCTGATCAGTCCTCCCTCCCTCTCACCAATTTCTTCTTCTTTATTTTTTTTTTACTTTAAACACGATAGTTTACAAAGTTGTTCATAATTGACTTGTGGGCATTCAACATTCCAGCACCAATCCCACCACCAATGCATCTTCCCTCCACTGTTGTCCTCATTTTCTTACCTTCTTCCCTTAAAAGGAACACAGTAATTTATTTAACACTGTTTGTTGCTTGCCACTAGATAGCAAATGAAGTTATCAAAAATAGTAAAAGAGGGGCTGGAGTGATAGCAGCAGCAGATAGGGCATTTGCCTTGCATGCGGCCAACTTGGGTTTGATTCCCAGCATCCCATGTGGTTCCCTGAGCACTGCCAGGAGTAATTCTTGAGTGCATGAGCCAGGAGTAACCCCTGTGCATTGCTGGGTGTGACCCAAAAAGAAAAAAAATAGTAAAAGAAATTTGTGGTAATTGTTACATCTCACCACAGGGTTGTTAAATCCTTACTTGAGGATTTACTAAGTTGTTCGGTGCTTAGTTGAGCCTCCTCTCATTTTTATTGTCATTACTGTTGAGTTTAGTTGGCTTTCCTGTTACTCTCCCATCTAATTTGGTGCGCTCCTACTGGGATGTCAGTATTTGGAGATATCTTGTGGCTGCCATGTTGCCTTGTGGTTCAGAAACTTCAGAATCTGTAGAACTGGGCCAGAGCTGGGCCAATGAACTCCGGGATGTGAGCATGGCTGTGAGGGCTTCTGCGAGTATGTGGGGAGGGTTGGTGGTGGAAAGAGGCGACTGGCTCCCACTCTCAGAGGACCCCAGAGTTCTTTTTTTTTTTCTTTTTGGGTCACACCCGGCGATGCTTGGGGGTTACTCCTGGCTTTGCACTCAGGAATCACTCCTGGCGGTGCTCAGGGGACCATATGGGATGCTGGGAATCGAACCAGGGTCAGCCGTGTGCAAGGCAAATGCCCTACCCGCTGTGCTATTGCTCCAGCCCCGACCCCAGAGTTCTTAGCCTGAAAACCAGTGTACTTGGAATTTTTGAGGTGTTGTGTCTCTGCAGAAATTAGTTGTGAAGTAGGGGGGTTGGGCCATTAGCATGACAGCAGCTGTGGGCTTCAAGGCTTTAGCAAGATGGGAACTTGGCCCACTTCCCTCCCAGGATGCCCCAGAATTTTTCACGTAGAAGACTGTTGTACCCACGCATTTTAGCATTTTGGTTCACATCTCCTCAGAGACTCAGTTGTGATTCTGTAGAGCAGGCCCCGAGGGTGAGCTGACATGGTGGGGGGATGTGGGCCCTCCAATTCTTCAGGACTGCCTGCCAGCTGTACTAGGGTGCTGTACTATTGGTGCTTTAGGATCCGGGGGAAGGGCCCCAGGGATACCCCAGACTCTATGATTCTGGGTTAATATTGCTTCTCTGCTCTTGGGCTGGGAGAAATCCTCATTCAGAAGCGACAGTGCTCACACTCTGTCTTGCCCTTGTAGCCTCATGTGGAATGGGAGCAGAGTGACGGTGAAGGATCTGCATTTGCCCAGCCACCCACAATGCAGCAGGCTGCGGCTGGCCGACTTGTTAATTGCAGAGCAGGAGCACAGCAGGTGAGAAGGGGACCCAGGGTGGGAGAGGGGGGCTTTGTAGGGCAGTGTCTGGAGGTCTGGGGCATGGAGAACATTTCCTGGTAGTTGGCGAATTTGACCTCAAAGGGCTGCCCAAGAAGGAGTTTTTTTTTTATTTTTTGGTTACACCTGGTGATGCTTAGCGATCACACTCATGGCTTAGGAATCCCTCTTGGTGTTATTTGGGGAACCCATGGGATGTCAGGGATGGAACCTGGGTTGGCAGCATGCAAGGCAAGTGCCTTACCTGCTGTTCTATTTTCATTGTCCCCACCCTTGTGTCTGCTGGGGCCCTTACAGTTGTTTGTAACTGTGAGGGTCTGGGTCCATGGCTGCTTGAGGGCTAGTCAAACAAGAGTCAGGCGGCAGACCCAATAAAGACCTTTATTGGCAACACACTGGCAAGTCGGAGGATTTGGCTTCATCCTCAAAACAACCACCTTGTCTGTTCGTCACAAGGACCCACTGTCCTGTCTGCACAGAACAGGGCTGAATATCCAAGCAGCTTCTCCACTGTGGAGGACAAGCCCACAAGTCTCTCAGAACCTCCTGTTTACTGTGACCTCATCATCTTCACTAGGTGGGAGACATTCTCAGCTTAGGATTTCACACTAGTGTTCACACCAGTGCTGCTGAGGTCTTGAAATGGAGAGTCCGCTCATCTCTTACAGGAGGTACATCTGAGGCCAAATTCTTCCTGTTCTTCCTTTTCTTTTTTGGGAAATTAGACTAAAGGGGAAGTCCCCCTCCCCCCAACACACACACACACACACACACACACACACACAGAGGAAGGACTCAGATACTCTATGGGCTTTCATGTACCACTCGGGTTGTGTGGCCTTGGGCAACTGTTCAAACTCATTTCTTTATCTCTAAAATGAGCGTAATGGCACTTCCTTGAAGGTCACTTGATGGAAGTGACCTATATAAAGGACCATGCTTAGTACCTCCCATTGTCATTCAGGAGCCCCAAGGGTCTGATCAGTGAGAGGCCAATCTGTTCCAGCCCATCCTGGTTTCCTAGAGTAACAGGCAAATGGCATTTGTTCAGATTTTGTTAGAGGAGCCTCGATGACAGTCCGGAGCCCATTTTTTCACCATGCCCTCTTTCCTTCAGTCCATAGTAAGATGCTTCTCTTTTTGCAGTAAGCTGCGACACCCACACCTGCTGCAGCTGATGGCTGTGTGCCTGTCCCAGGACCTGGAGAGGACGCGCCTGGTGTATGAGCGTATCACCGTGGGCACACTCTTTGGGGTTCTGCACGAGCGGGTGAGACTAGTCCTCTGGGTATCTCTGGTGTGAATAAAGTTCTGTCCTCTTTTTTGGGGGGAGCATACCTGGAAGTGCAGGGGGGGGGGTGGTTACTCCTGGCTCTGTACTCAGGAATCACTCCTGGCAGTGCTCAGGGGACCATATGGGATGCTGGGAATCGAACCCAGGTTGGCCACGTGCAGGGCAAATATCCTACCTGCTCCAGCCCCAATTTTTATCCTCTTGAAGCTGAAGTTTCTGGGTCTTTGGACTGAGGTCAGGACCAGGTGGTGCCCCAGATGCACAGGTCTGGATGGAGGCAGGTTGCTGGAGGTGGCTGTGGTCTCCATACTCATCCTGAATGGACAGGCCTTGAGGAATTTCTCCTTTTCCAGCTAAGATGAGGGAGGGGGGCTCAGGTTTGGAGCCAGGCAGGCCCCTCAACTGCACCAGGCTTTAGGGTCCTTCTTTAAAACAGGCTCTCGGTAGCTGGAGTGTCTTGAGTTATAGGACTCTGGAAATGACAGGGCATCCTCCAGGGCCCGGGATGCGGCTCCTTCTGCTCCCTGCCAACTTCCTTCTTGCCTGCAGCGCTGCCAGTTCCCCGTGCTGCACATGGAGCTCATCGTGCACCTGCTGCTCCAGGTCTCTGACGCCCTGAGGTACCTGCACTCGCGGGGCTTCATCCACCGTGCCCTCAGCTCCTACGCCATCCACATAGTCTCCACCGGGGAAGCAAGGCTGACCAACCTTGAGTACATGATGGAAAGGTGGGTGAAGTTGCCAGAGGGGCTTCATGGGGTCCTCTTCGCTGGAGAGAGTGTCTGATCTGGGCGGGACTCTTCCTCGGTGGCCAGCCAGACTGTCCTTCAGTGGTCTTCTCCCACTGAGCCATCATCCCTAGGTTCCTGAAGTTTGAATTTTACTTGTTTTTGTGTGGAGGGTCTTACACCACACCCAATGGTGGGTGGTCAAGCGCCATTCTTGGCTCTGTGCTCAGGAATAACAATTTGCAGTGCTGGGCATGAAACCAAGTTTGGCCAGAAACATAAAGGCCACCTTGAACAAAGGAAGGGCGCGTATATGCTGCCTGAGCCCATGTGCTGCTTGTGCCCATGTGGCCGAGCACATGTGGTACCTGAGCACATGCGTCACCCACATCTCCCCTCTTGAGATGTGGACTTCCATGCTTTCGTGTCTAATGCTGGGATATGTGTAGGGGCTCTCTCTGCCCTTGGAGAAGCCCGCGTTATCTCTTGAGTGTGTTACTCTCTCTTTCACCCTATCTCCCTCCACACCATAAAACCCTCCAAATAAAATCTGTTTTACTTCACTGCTTGTCTACTCCTGAAATTCCTTTCTGTAAGCAGAGCGAGACAAGATCCCAGTAACCCTGGGTCCCAGATGGCAGAGGCTGTTGGGGAGAAAGTGACTGTCTCTCCTCTCTACTCACGTGAGCCACCTGTGGGGTCCACTGACATCAGTTTTATTCAGACTTACTTAGAATGATGTGAGGGGAGAGAAGAAAGGGAGAAGTGCTGGCAGGGACAAGTGCTTCTGTGTGTGTGTGTGTGTGTGTGTGTGTGTGTGTGTGTAGTGATAGTACAGGGATCACTCCTGGTGGGAGTGGAACCATATGTGGTGCTGTAGATCTAACCCGGGTTGACCATGAGCAAGGCAAGCTCCCTACTCGCTCTACTATCACTACACACACACACACACACACATACACACCAATCCCCAGAAGCACTTATCCCTGCCAGCACTTTGCGTATTTACACCTCCTTAGTCATTTGGGTACTTTGTGTTGTCCCCACCACAGGGGCAGCTGCAAGAGGGCTGAACCATATACTTCCTCATCACTGTCTTTGGTGTCTAGCTTGGTGCCTGCCTCGTAGCAGTGAAACACTAAGGAAACACTTATTAAGAAAATGGGCCAGTCTGGATGAAGGGAAAACTTGAAATGGTTGGATACAGAGCTCACCACTTGGATTATATCTGCAAGTAGCAGTGCAAGCTTGGTGATTTGGTCATTTCTGTTGTTAATTGCCAAGGGAAGAAAGGCTGGCAGTATCAAGCAGTTTCACAGTGACGGAGCGCCCTCTGTTGTTGGATGGAGGTACAACATTTTTGCTTTTGCTCTCCAACAGAAACGTAAACCCCAGAGTTAAGTGGAACATTAGAGATGGTCCACTCCCTTCCTTTTGCAGATGGGGGAGCTAGACACAGACAGGTGAAGGGCTTTACAGTAACCCAGCAGTGGCAAGAACCAGGTGACTCTGGATAATTTCTGGCCAGAAGGTAGCATGGGATAGAGGTCTGGGGAACATAGACCAGAAGTCCACAGGGCAGTCTGGTGATATCGAAAGAATCAATTTAGAAAAAAAAATAAAGCGATTATATGGGGGGCGGGGGGAAGAATCAGTGTAGAAGGGAAAGATCTGGGCCCACAGACTTGGTTGGGGATTGTGAGATGATTGGGACATCGGAGGTACTGTTTCTGGTAGGAAAGGGATGAATTCTGTTTGGGGCTTGTTAATCTTGGAAAAAAGCTTCAAGCAGAATTGTCTGTCAGCAAGCAGGTGACACCAAGCGGGGATTATTCAGAATCCCAAATAGCTTTCAATTTCATATCTATTTTTGATAACACTCTATTTGCGTAGGTTTTTTTTCGAATGTCATTGCCAAGGGTAACATTCCATCTCTTGATGTAAAAAAAAAGATACCAACAGTTTCTCCTAGTTTCAGCTTCATAATTGAGTCTTCAGAGCCGGAATTGACCTTGTAAATGGCATCACATAGCCATACCCAAATGTAATTTTAATGATGGCACAGCCACAGCCTAGAAAAATTACTGCCCTAGAATGATGTCCAGAAAAGAAACCACTTCCTATCACTGGCTAGCTTTAACAGAGAAGGGTGCAGGATTTTAAGAGAGCAAGGGGAATGAAAATAAGAGAAAAAGGATGTAGGGGGCTAGAGAAGTACTAACAGACTAAGGTGCTTGCCCTGCATGTAGTCAACTGAAGTTGGATCCCAGCACCATACATGGTCCCATAAGCACCACTAGGAGTGATCTCTGAGCACAAAGTCTGGAGTTAGCCCTGAGCATCACTATGTGTGGCCTCCATCTCCCTTCAAAACAAACAAAAAATAATGTTAATTGCCCAAACCAAATCTTTAGGGACTGAACCCATGTTGGTCTTGTGCAAGGCAAGTGCCTTACATGCTGTACAATCTCTCTGGCCCCTGGTATTAAAGAATAGACTTGGTATGTTACTCTGTAGAATTTATAACTTGCATTGTTTAAGGCAGGGATATGATTCCTGGCACCACACACACACACACACACACACACGCACACTACTGGGAGTTGACTCAGAGGACTGTAATACATGCTTTGCATTTGGGAGTCCTGGGTTTGATCCCAGCACCATTGATCCCCGAAGCACTGCACCAGAAATAGTTGCTGACCACCACCAAGTATATCCATCTAAAAATTACCACCACCGCTATCAACAGAAAAGAGATACATCCTGGTGTTAAGGTGTTTGTAGTTCATCAGAGGCTTAGAAAAGCCTGAGAGGCCTGGACAGGCAAGTGAGTGTTTATGTGAAGATTTCTCCTGGAACCTGAAAATTCTAGGTCCCCAGACTAGATCTGTCAATAAAATATTCTGTTTCTTTCCTTGTGATGAGTATAATATTTGCATGCCAGGTCATGCTTTTTATGCAACACCAGAGCACACCTGGTGTACAACTAAAGTCAGTACCATTGTAGGCGTCCATGGAGGCCCAGAGATAGCTCAGTGGCTGTGCCCCTGCCTTGCCTAGTGAGCACGAGTCCTCTAGTTCGATCACTGGCACATGCACAGTGTATGATCCTGATGGCACTAACCTTTGGGACTGTCAGAACCTCAGCAAGGTGTTTTTGGTGCACTGCAGCTGGTTATGTCGTCTTCAGATACCATGACAACAGCAACAACAAAGGAAAGGGAGGAGGAAAAAAAAGCAGTTGTGAGTTGTTTGAGGAGTCCTAGAGGCTCTGATGAAGCAGGGGTTTGAGGGGAATCTAATTATAAAGTAAGCATTGAGGATTAGGAAGATTGCTCGAAGGGTTGGAGTCCATGCTTTACAGACAAGAGAAGTGGGTTGAATCCACAGTATTGCCTGATACCTGTTGGGTGTGGCCTCCCCCCCCCCCCCCCATAAAAAAGAGGTTACAAACAAAAAAGGTAGGCCTTGAGGATGGGTATATAGCTCAGTGGTAGAGTGCATGCTTTGCTTTTGTGAGGTCCTGCTGCAAGTTTAGAGATGCAGTGATAGAAGATAGAAAAGGTATATACTTCTGTGGGGCTTACTCAAGTGAAAGGGAGACAAATAAAAATGAACAGAAATTCAGATCAGTGTACAAAGCCAACAAAGTGAGCTTCCTTTAGATTACGTATTCTGGGACAGCCTCTTTGAGGAGGCCTCAAATACCTTCCTTCTTTCCAGGAAGCCACCAATCACAGTAGGATCTAGGCTGAGCCTGCCCTATAGAATTCACTGGCACCAAGACCTGAGGTGGTATTGTGGTTAGTGTATTGGAGAAAATGAAAGAGGGCCCCGGCGCTTTGGTATGTGAGCAAGAGAGGGCAGCCAGGTGAGGTGGGGGATTGGTAGGGCTCCCCCCTTCCCCCCCCCCCCCCGTTGGAAAGGTAAGTTGTTGTAGGTGTTAGAACAGGAAGCTGGATGTTGGGTAAGTTAAGCATCTAGTTGGGTTTCTAGGATTTCCAGGAGGCTGCCAGTCATCACTATTGTCATGTTTCAAGGTGATGCCAGTGACCCCTTCAGTCAGGAGCACTGCCTTGTTTCCTTCTGTAGCCAGGACGGAGGTGTGCACAGAGACCTGACTCGCATCCCGCTCCCCACCCAGCTGTACAACTGGGCCGCCCCAGAGGTGATCTTACAGAAGGCAGCCTCTGTGAAGTCAGACATCTTCAGCTTTTCTATGATCATACAGGAGATTTTAACAGGTAAGTCAGAGCACATATTGACATGTTGACAATGACTAAAGTCCTCATTCTGTTTGCTTGAGTTCCCCACTCTCCCAGTTACATTCCTGAAATTGCAGGACTCGGGACCAGAGCAATAGTACAGCAAGGTGTTTGCCTTGCATGTGGCCGACCCGGGTTTGATCCGCAGCATCCTATATGGTCCCCTGAGCATCACCAGGAGTAATTCCTGAGTGCAGAGCCAGGAGTAACCCTGAGCATCATTGGGTGGGGGTGATATCCCCACAAAAGAAAAGAAAAGAAATTGTAGGACTCAGAGAAAAAAAAAAGAAAGATTTCTCCAGGAAGAAAACACCCGTGCTTGAGATACTAATTCCCAGAAGTCATTTTTTCTCCCATCCCCTTCCATCCTCTTCCCTCTCCTCTTTCATTTTTTTCAGCCTCACTCATCATTGCTCATTGCTTGTCCTGGCTCTGTGGTCTGTGATTACTTCTGGCAGGGCTTGGGGGACTGTATGGGATGCTCAGATTGAGCCTGGGTCAGTCATGTGCAAGGCAAGTGCCCTACCTCCTATACTATCTCTCTTAGCAAACTTTAAAAAACTGAACATTGATAATAACGTTTAAGGATCTTCAAAATGTATAGAGACCAGGGATGTGGCTCAAGTCAGAGAATATTAGACCTTTCATGTAGCACTGTTGTCCCGTTGTTCATTGATTTGCTTGAGTGGGCACCAGTAACGTCTCCATTATGAGACTTGTTGTTACTGTCTTTAGCATATCAAATACGCCATGGGTAGCTTGCCGGGCTCTCCAAGAGGGATGACCACGTGCCAGGCAAACACCCTACCAGCTGTTCTATCCAGTCCACACCTTTCATGTACAAGACCTAATTTGATCCTTGGCATCAGTGCACCCCCATTCCAAGTTCCACTGGTCCCAAAGAAACACTGAAACACTAACAAACACTACCCACAACAATGAAAAAGATAATTTGTAAATGAAGGGAGATTATCATGGAGAAGTACGCCATGATCTCAAACTCTGGACGCGAGTCCAAGGAGTGATAGTAGTGTCACTTGGAAGATGTGGAATCCCTTCCAAACCCACAGGACTCTAAAGGACTTGGGGCATAGCTGTGGAGAGAAGGAATCCTTCGAGAGTAGAACCTTGTAAACTATGTATGGGGAATGAGGCACCCCCACCCTGTTGAGTGTGTGTGTATAGTTTCCATCATGGGGAGGCGAAACCACACTTTTCCTGAAATGAATGCATTGGACTCCCCAGCCTGAGGTCTGCAACCATTGCCCTGTGGAACCCATTACGCATGATTCTCACTTTGCTTTTTCCTGTCTCTGCATCAGGTTATTTCTCTGGTAAAGGGCCACAGCGATTTTCTGTTTGTGTGTTTTCAGGCTTCCAGTTCGTTTTTCTCAGAGAGGAGTTAATACTCAAGGGGGTTGTCCATGAGCCAGAGAGAGAACTCAGCAGGTTGGAGTTCATGCTGTGCTGAGGGAGCCCTAGGTTCAGTCCCCAGTCCCACATGTCCCTCACTGCTCAGGAGCAATCCCAGACCGCTGAGCTTGGAGTAACTCTCCAGTAATATCAGGTGTGGCTCCAAAGCTGAGATAAAATAAAATAAAGGAGTTCCCCAATTTATTATCATTTCTTTTTTCTGGTATTGGAGATTAAGCCCAGGCACTCATAAATGTGAATCATACGCTCTACTGTTGATCTCTCCCCGGCCTCATTTTATTTTATTTTTATGTTTTTTATTGATTTAGATTTATGTATAATTAATATTAATAATTGTATTATTAATTGTACTATTAAAGGTAAAGGTAAAGGTAAAGGCCCTCCCGTTGATCGTCGATTTGCTCGAGCGGGCCCAGTAACGTCTCCATTGGAGACTTTGTTGTTACTGTGTCTGGCATATCGAATACTCTCGGTAGCTTGCCGGGCTCTCCGAGAGGGGCGGAGGAATCGAACTCGGGTCAGCCATGTTGGCTGCTTGTAAGGCGAACGCCCTACCCGCTGTGCTATCACTCCAGCCCAATTGTACTATTAATAAAATTTTAGTTATTTTATTAATTTTGTTCTTGGGTCACCTAGTGGTGCTCGGTGGACCATGTGTTTAGGGGGTGTTCCTAGAGGTGCTCAGGGATCCCCCATGCATGTTGGGGATTGAACCAGGGTCTTCTGCATGCAAGGCCAGCTCCTTAACCCCTCCCCGTACTGTCTCTGGCCCTCATCTGATTTCTATTTTGGTTTTGTCTTTTTGGAGACACACTCAGTAGTACTCAGGGGCTGTTTTTTGACTCTAAATGGGGACCATATGTATTGCCAGTGACTCAGACTAGGGTTTAGGGATACATGGCAAGCACCTTAACCCTGGTACTGTCTCTCTGGCCTTCATTTGATTTTCTTCTTTTTTTTTTTCTTGTTTGGTCACACCCAGCGATGCTCAGGGGTTACTCCTGGCTCTGCACTCAAGAATTACTCATGGCTGGCAGTGCTCGGGGGACCATATGGGATGCTGGGCATTGAACCTGGGTCGACCGTGTGCAAGGCAAATGTCCTACGGGCTGTACTATTACTCTAGCCCCCTTCTTTTATTTTTTGGGAGAAAGGCACCACACCTTTGGTGCCCAGGGCTTATTCCTGGCTCTGCACTGGGGGATCTTCTGGTAGGCTTGGGTGACTATACAGGATGCTGGGATTAAACCTATGTTGGCTACATGCAAGGCAAGTGCCCTACCCCACTGTACTATCTCTTCAGATTCTCATCACATTTCTTTTTTTTTTTTTTTTTGCTTTTGTTTTTGGGCCACACTCAGCAGTGCTCAGGGCTTACCCCTGGCTCTGTGCTCAGAGGTCATTTATGGTGGGTTTGGAGCATCAAATGAGGTGTTGAGGATTAAACACAGGTGGGCCATATGCAAGGCAAAATCCCTACCCACTGTACTATTGCTCTGGCCCTCATCTGATTTTTTTTGTTTGTTTTAGGGCCACACAGAGCGATGATCAGGGATTACTCCTCACTCTGTGCTCAGGGAACCATATGTGATGGCGGGGATTGAACTTGGCCTGGCTGCATGCCAGGCAAATGCCCTACCAGCTGTATGCATCAGCTCCTCATCTGATTTCTTTCTTTCTTTCCTTTTATTAGTTGAATCACCATGAGATACACAGTTACAAAGTTGTGCATGATTGGGTTTCAGTCATACAGTGTTCCAACACCCATCCCTTGGCTAGTACACATTTCCCATCACCAGTGTGTCATCCTTCCCCCTTTATGCAGGCGCTTTTTTTTCTCTCTTGTTCTCTCTCTCTCTTTCTCTCTCTCTCTCTCTCTCTCTCTCTCTCTCTCTCTCATGCTCTCCTTCTAGAGCTCATCTGTTTCTTCCTTCCTTTCACTTTTGGGTCACACCCTGTGATGCTCAGGGTTTACTCCTAGTTCTGTACTCAGGAATCACTCTTGGCGGTGCTTGGGGGACCATATGGGATGCTGGAGATCAAACCTGGGTTAACCACATGCAAGGCAAACACCTTACCCCTTGTACTGTTGCTCTGGCCGCTCATCTGATTTATGAGGGGCCAGAGCAATAGTCAGCAGGTAAGGTGTTTGCTCTGATTTATTTATTCATCTCATTAATGCTACTTCCTATGACTTTTCCCCTAACAGATAACATACCCTGGAATGACTTAGATGGTGAAGACATTAAAGAAGCCATAGTTTTGGGAAATTATTTGGAAGCTGATGTCAGACTTCCAAAACCTTACTATGACATTGTTAAGTCAGGCATCCAGGTCAAGCAGAGACACCGGACTATGAACCTTCAAGATATCCAGTATATTCTGAAGAATGACTTAAAGGTAACCTCTGAAGTTGTTGGGATTTATTTCTGTGTACCCTTCCCAAGGGAATAAGGAGTTAGAGACTAGGAAGGAGCTTGAGACCAAGTTGCGAGAAGTTTGGGAAATCTTCATTACAAGTTTTCTGTGTCTCTGAGAAAAGTCTTAAGTGCTTCCCCTGGTGAAGGCAGGTCAGAATTGAGGGGTGTGGGGTGTCAGTGGTCAGTAAACAGAGGGTACCCTCTTGGAATTTTAGTTCTTAGTTTGTAAATATTGGAAATAACCATAGATTAGCTCATTAGAACTACAGTCTTCCTAACAGGGTTGGGGGAATCTACTCACACCTTAATCTGTTTCAAAGATACCAGTGATTTTCAGATAACTGGCAGTGTCCTTGGCGTTGTTCCCTCTTGTTGCAGGATTTTATTGGAGGCCAGAGAACTCAGCCCACTGAGAGTTCCAGGGAACACAGATATGAAGTCCATCCTGATACCAATGTCTGTCTAGGACTGACTTCAGAATATTCAAAAGAGACTTCTGACTTGGAAATAAAAGAACTGAAGGAAATGGGTATGTTCTTTAACTAAAGCTTAAACATAATTTGAGATAAATATGTTGAGTCATAAGCTTGTGACGTCTCCAAACAGTGCATATCACTTATGCTGGAGAAATGACTTAGGGAAAAATCAGGCTACTTAAAATTTCTAAGTTAGGGGGCTGGAACGATAGCACAGCAGGTTAGGCATTTATTTGCCTTGCACATGCCAACCCAGATTCAATTCCCAGCATCCCATATGATCCCCCGAGCACTGCCAGGAGCCAGGAGTAACCCCTGTGCATCACCAGGTGTGACCCAAAAAGCAAAAAAAAAAAAATTCTAAGTTAAACCTTTGGGGCTTCACATACACCTTAGTTGGATTTATAAATAAATAAATCCAAGCAATAAGCGCCAATTTACTTTTTATTATAATTATCCTTAGGAGTTTATCTAATTTCTTCTTAAATTATAAATAATTTTATTTTATTTTGGATTTTGAGCCACACGCATTGATGCTCAGGAGTTACTCATGACTTTGCACTCAGCAGTCACTCTGGCAGTGCTCAGAGGACCACATGGGTTGCCGTAGATTGAACTCAGGGCAGCTGCGTGCAAGGCAAGTGCCCTATCCACTGTACTATGTCTCCGCCTCCTCAAATTTTAAATTATTATCTTAAAATTTTAAGTTATTATAGTTCATGATAGCAAATATAGAGTAGTGCAAAGAAGAAAAAATTACTCAAAAACATGCGCTGTTGTTTTTGGGGCTACATCTAGTGATGCTCAGGAGTTACTCCTGACTCTGGGCTTGGAATCATCCCTGTTCATGCTTGGGGGACCATATAGGATGCTGGGGATTGCACCCAAGTTGGATGCATGCATGGCAAATGCTCTGCCCATTGTGTTATCACTCCAGCCCCCAAGTTACTGTCTGTGTACCCCAGTTTTCTAGAGTAGTGATATCCTCTCAGCTCCTTGAGTAGCTGTCTACATTCCGCACCCCTCAAACAGGCAGCCACTTCTGCTTGCGACCACTTTAGTCAACTACATGCTGCCTCTCTTTCCAACAGGTAGTCAACTTCCCTCGCCCAAGAGTCATTCTTCTCCCACTAAGAAAGTAACACAAGATCCTCAGGTCCCAGATCGAAGTCTGACGACCAAGGAGACCAAGCACCAAGACGCTGTTTGCCTTGATTGCTCTGTGGCAGAAGAGTCCAGGAGCCCCAGCCCAGGCCGGACAAGCCTCTACAGCTTTGAAATGAATGAAATCAATTCAGGCTGCCTAAGTGTGCGAGAGGACAGAGAGGAAGAGTCCCCAACAGCAGATTCATTTTTTGAGGGGGCTGGGCAGAACCAGGTGGATGAACTGAAGTCCATGGAAGAGGAACTGGAGAAGATAGAGAGAGAGGCATGCTGTTCCTATAATGAGGATGAGAGCTCTTCAGAAACTGAGGACTGGGACTGGCAAAGTGATTCCCTTAACTCATCCAGCCTCGTGGAGACTCCTGGAGAAGTCAAAAGCAATGTGAACAACCGGTCCAGGACTGAGGAGTACATCAGCAAGTGTGTGCTGAATCTAAAGATTTCACAGGTCTTCGCACGCCAGAATGCTGAGTTGATCAGGAGTATCCAAAAGAAACTAGACGAGGTTGAGATGATGCAGAAGGAGCAGGAAGAATGCATGTCATTATGGATTTCTACAAGAGAGGCTCTAAAGGCCTTACCTCCAGCCCGGGGTCCCCCAACTTTGAACTATATTCCTCCTGTCCTGCAACTATCAGATATTGGTAGCAATTGCCCGGTCCTAGTAGAGACCCCGAGAAGAGTGAGTGACTTTCAGGGATCTGGGCATTTTAGTCAGAGATGCAGGACAAGAAGTGATTGTGGCTGGAAATCTTTCACCCAAGTCTTTGAAGAAAACACCGAGGAGCAATCAGAGAAGATCCATCAGGTAAAGAAGTGGGAGGCAGGGCAGTCTGAGCAGGACCTGGAGCATGACTCAGTACCATTGTAGCTTGTGTGCCAGAGCTGAGAGAAATGCTAGTGACGGAGAGCTGGGGAAGAAATGAAAGAAGTACTAGTGACTCATATGTCAAGGGCCTGGTTTGGGAGCTAAAATCATGAAGGTGGAATTCCAAGATAGATACTCTTAATTACCCATTTCAAAACCCAGATAGATCCTGTGCATTATATTGAATTGTATAAATTTATTATTATTATTATTTTACTTTTTTGGCCATACCTGGTGTTGCTCAGGGGCTAGTTGCAGGTTAGTGCATGGCACCATAAAGTGGGGGGGGGGGGGATCATACCCAGACCCCAGCATGCAAAGCAGGTGATCCAGGCATTGAACCATCTCCCTTGACCCGAAACTGTTATTTTTTTTTGTTGTTTGTTCATCCATCTGTCCGTCCGTTCATCCTTTCATCCATCCTTCCTTTTTTGGCCATATCTGGGAATGCTAAAGGGTCACACCTGACTCTGCTCAGGAATTAATCCTGGCAGGATTTAGGGGACCTAATGGGATGCCGGGGATTGAACTGTGTAACAAGGCAAGGGCTCTACCTGTTTTACTATCACTCCAGCCCCTAGTTTTTTGTTTTTTAAATTTATTTTATTGTAGGCACTACTTCTGGCTCTGCACTCAGAAATTACTCTTGGGGGACCATATGGGATGCCAGGGATTGAACCTGGGTAAGCCATGTGCAAGGCAAATACCCTACCTGCTGTACTATTCCTCTGACCCCCAAAACTGCTGCTGTTAAAGGTTGAAATAATCAATTTTATATAGTTCAACTTGCTATATAGGATGTCTTAAGCAGGTCTTAAGAAATTTCCATTCTAAGTTGTTTATTCGTTCTTTCATCTGTTTATTCAACAAAATACCTTTTTGTCTTTTGTTGTTGTATTATATATTTGTTGTTGGATTTTGAAACCAGAGCCTCATACGCACCAGGTGTGTGTTCTACCCCTGAACCAAATCTTTGAAGTCATTGTCATTCAACAGATATTTATAGAACCAGAAACTCTATAGTTGACTTTGAGAAATGACAGATGAATGAGCCACAAGTTCTGCTACGAAGTCGCTTAAATCTCTGATCAGATAGAGAGGGATCTGGTGATCAGAGAAACTGTCTCAAGCGGGAAAGAGACCCCACAGGAGCTTGTATGGAATGTTTAGTTTGAGGTTATTACTGAGATAGATTGAGATACTTAAGGACAGAACCTACAACCCATTCTGTGCCCCAGCACCTAGTCAATAGTTGGTTGTTGTAGGAATGAGGGAGCGAGTGATGCGTGGCTTTGAACAAGTTCAGACAGACAACAGTAATAACTGCCTCTTGAATGACAGAATTTTCAAGTGGAAGAACCTGCCATTTTACAGTGATGCCCACACTTGGTGACTTACATTTCCCATGGTCAGTGGAAATACAGAGATGAAGGTAGAGTAGGAGCTGGCTCCTCTGGGAAGACTTATTACTGAACTTATTTGAAACTGTTGTTGGCCCATGGTAATAAAAAGGCCAACTTTTAGTAGGTTTTATTAACAATCACCATATAACTGTTGTATCCTTACTGCTAGATTCAGGAATGTATTTTGTCCCTGGTTTTCTGTTTTATCTTGTTTTTGTGGGCTACATGCATCAGTGCTCAAGGCTGACTCTTGGCTCTGTATCAGGGGTTACTCTTGGTGCTTGGGAGGCCATGTGAGGTGCTGGGGATTGAATCTGGGCTTGTCCTACCTCCTGTACTATCTCTCAGGTCCTATTTTGTCCTTATTTTATGGATGAGAAACAAAGAACCCTCTTGGATAAGTCGTAGATAGAACCTGGGGTTTCTGCCACAGAGCCTACCCCCTTAATAATATAGGGAATGGGCTGGAGCAATAGTACAGCTGGTAGGGTATTTGCCCTGCACCCTGCCATCCTGGGTTCTATCCCTGGCACTGCATTTGGTCCCCTGAGCCTCGCCAGGAGTGAACCCTGGTGGGACTTAGTGACCAGGTGGTGGAAGGAATCAAACCCCGGACATCTCCCATCTCAGGGCATCTGCTCTTCCACTTAAGCTATATATCACCAACCAGTTGTTTAGTTTTTGGGGTGTGGCAGGGGTTTTGGGCCATGGTACTTGGGGCTACTCCTTACAGTGTTCAGGAATGGCACCTGGTGGTGCTCAGGAGACCAAATGCAGTTCCAGCCTAGGGTGTATTCAAGGAAAGCACCTTATACTGTTTCTCTGGGTAGATTTTTGTTATGTTGATTTTTTTGTTTTCTCATTCTTCCTTTTTTGTTGTTGTTGTGGACTCAGAGCTTCACATGTGCAAGATAAGCACACTAAAACTGATCTATATCCCTAGGTCTTTTTGCTTATTTTCTGAACTAAATTTTGGGAGACTGAAATCTCTAAAAGTCTCTATTAATAGATTAGTTTCTGAATGTGAAACATGCAAAGGAAAGTATACTTAGTACCTCTGGTTATTGGTACAGTTGTATCAAGGATGGCCTTGAAAAAAGAATGTGAGAAGAGAATTTCCTCACTGTAATACTGAAAAATGTTAATTGCTTTTAAAGCCATCAATTCTTTGTGCCTCTGGAAAACAATGCAATGTCGAACAGTTTCAGGCCTTTCAAGGAGCCAAGGACAATTTGGGAAGAAGCAGGAACCAAACTCCCAACAGGTGAGTTAACTTTTTTTTTTGTTTGTTTGCTTTTTGGGTCACATCCAGTGTTGTTCAGGAATTACTCCTAGTTGTGCTTGGGGGATCATATGGGATGCCAGGGATTGAATCCAGGTCGGCCGCGTGCAAGGCAAACGCCCTACCCACAGTGCTACCACTCTGGCCCCAAGTGGGTTAACTTTAAAAAAAAAATTAATGCATGTGTCTGTAGTTTTTTGGTTTTTTTGTTTTGTTTTGTTTTGGGAGGGGGTCACACCCAGCAGTGCTCAGCACTTACTCCTGGTTCTGTCCTTAGGAATCACTCCTGGTTGGGATCAGGGGACCATATGAGGTGCTAGGAATCAGACCTGGGTCAGCCATATTCAGAGCAAGTGCTCTACCCACTGTCTATTGCTCTGGGCCAACATTTTTAATATTCTTTGCCACCATGTCTCACGAGTCCCCATAACCTTGAGTCCACTGAATGATCTTCATATATCTAATAACAAAGAGACTATAACTGATGAGGAATAGTGATACAGAGATACATCTTGCCAGGTTCTGTCCACGGTAAGAAAGAGTGCTGTAATGGAAACTTATTGGTGACATTAAAGGTAAAATAGTTTTCAGATTAATCAGAAGAGCTCATCAGTTGTCAGAGGAAAGCATAAAGGTCTCCATATTGTTTTTCCCTTTTCGTTCATTTGTTTTTGATTTTGGGCAATACTGGGTGGTGCTTAGGGTATACTCCTGGCTCTGTGCCCAGGAATTACTCCTCATGCTCAGGGGACCGTAGCAGGTTCTGGAAATCGAACCAGGATAAGTTGGACAAGGCAAGTGCCCTACCTACAGTCGGGCCCCTTCTCTTATTTTTTGCCTTTTGAGCAATGCTCCGGAGCCTGGAGCCTCCACTGTTAATTCTTGGCCAACTAGACCCATGATTCAATGCAGAGGCTGAGGATTCAGGGCTGCTTGGTCCCTGTGGTGCTCGGGATACACAGGCCTCACCTGATGGTGCTGGAGTTTGCCATGTCTGCACACGGAAATGCTCACAGGACCTCGTGGTGCTATGAAAGGAATCTAGTTTGGGTGCAGTGCTAGGTATACACCTTCACCTCTGTCCTAGCTCCTGGCCCCATCATATTGTTTTTTCTTTCTTTTTTTTTTTTCCTTATTAAAACACCATGAGAGCAGTTACAAAGTTTTTGGTTTAAGTCTCGGTCATACAATGTTGAAACACCGGACCCTTCACCAGTGCACATTTTCCACCACAAAAAAACCCCATATGCCCCCCATTCCACACCCTCCCCCTACCTTTGTGGTAGGCAGTTTCCATGTTACTCTCTCTCTGCTTTGATTACAATCAATATTTTGACACCAAACCCAGCATTATTATTTGGGATTTTACCCCAACACTCAGATCTGCTGAAAAGGCAACATTAGACGATTTGTTTTCTGTTGCTGATTATGAATTGCAACCATCATACTTTTTTTCTTATGAAAAGAAATACTTTATATTCCATTTGTCAGTACTTTAGAAGCCAAACTATTTAGAAACTAACATTCTTTGACTAAGATTCACTGACTCCAGGGGCCGGAGTGATAGCACAGTGGGTAGGGCGTTTGCCTTGCACGTGGCCAACCAGGGTTCGGTCCCTGGCATCCCATATGGTCCCCCAAGCACTGCCAGGAATAATTTCTGAGTGCAGAGCCAGGAGTAATCCCTGAGCATTGCTGGGCATGACCCAAAAAAGACAAAAAAAAAAATCACTGACTCCAGTGCAGGGCTTGGACTATTACTGCCATAGCTCCGTGACACTTGATTCGCAGCCAGATCAGTGAAACCAAGTGGCTTCAGTCCAAACCACTAGAAGACGAATGCAGGAATACCAGGGATACTAAAAACGTAGGTAAAACAAATTTTCCTTTGCAGAAATTATTTAAGAGTCAGCAAATGTTCTCTAAGATAGACTAGTCTGTCAACTTTATGTTTACTTTTCTTTGGTTAAAGATAACATTTGAATTAGCAGCATTTTAGTCAGTTCTAGAAAATCATGACTTACTGCATTGCCCTATAGCCCCTACTGAATCACCCAGCTCGTGGTGAACGAGATTTTGCTGTTTCCTTATATTGGTATATGTGTACATGAGGGAGAATCCGAAAAATGCCCTGGTGTTTTTAGATTAGTGTATTTTACCTCTATAAAGGGAATTCTTGGAGGTAATCTATCTGGCATCACAGGGTTTAGCTCTCACATAATTAATAGAAATGAATGGAGTAACGTAACCATAATAGCAAAAGTTAGAATTACAGGGTTTAGCTCTCCCAAAGAGTAAACAGAAACAAACAAACAAAAAAAGAGCTAAACGTTTTTGGGCCAGAGAGATAATACTGGAGGTAAGGCACTTGTCTTGCATGTGGTTGACCCCATTTTGATCCCCAGCACTGCTTATAGTCCCTGAGCACCACTAAGAGTGAGCTCTGAGCACAGCCAGGAGTTTCCTCTGAGCGTGGACTTCCTGTATACAAGGCATGCTATCAGCCCGTTGAACTGTAAAATGATACATGTGTAGGCAGTCTTATATTTTGATTTTTCTTTTTGAGGGGGGCACATTCAGCAGTGCTCAGGGCTTACTCCTGGCTTTGAAGTCAGTATCACTCCTGGCAGGGTTCAGGGGACTGTATGGGATGCCAGGGATCAAACCGGGGTCGGCCATGTGCAAGACAAGTACCCTACCCACTGTATTATTTCTCAGCCCCACCAAGATTACTCTTAGAATCAAGAAATCTCATTCTTAAAAAAAACCCAAACATGGAGATTATTTAACCCAGACCTTTGCTTTCTTAGCCAGGGAAGACCTAGAGAGTTTGGTGCCCGCCCCAAAGTGACACAGCTGAATAGTGCCCTGTGGACCATGCCAAGCCGCCCTCAGGGACCTCCAGTTTCCTCCAGATTTGGTCAGGGCGTTACCAGGTGAGGATCCTGTGCCCTCTGGTGGTGAGCGGGAGGCAGTTCAGTTGCAGAAATACTCTGGTGGCTGGTAGGCTCAGGGCGGTGTAAGAATCTTGAGCAGCTTACTGTTTGTGTCTATCCCATTCTTCTCCCTACCAAAAACCTGTACAACTTAGGATCAGTATGGAGTCTGAACTCTGTAATGAAAAGTCAAGAAATCATGAAGATGATGGAGAGGTATACTTAAAATGGAAAAGTGAGTATAAATTTATGATTTTGTCGGACAAAATGAACTTTAAATCATAGTTCTGACCTGGTTAGTATCTCTCTCTCTCTTCTTTTTAACTGTTACTGTTTTTATCTTTTTTTTCTGGTTAGTATCTCTTAAGTACACAATATGTACTGTAATGTTCTCCCACATCCTTCTGTTAGATTATTCTATTAGAAAAAAGCAAGGCATTTATGATTGCCAACTACAAAAGGAAACTTTTTTTCTTTATAGACTTCACAGGAACTACTCTACTACTTACATATATGTGTGTGTATAAAAATGAGTTTTATATCAACTGTCATTGTCATCCTGTTGTTCATCGATTTCCTCGAGCAGGCACCAGTAACGTCTCCATTTGTCTTAGCCCTGAGATTTTAGCAATGCCACATTGGAGGCTCTTTCAGGGTCAGGGGAATAAGACCCATCATTGTTATTGGGTTTTGGCATATTGAATACGCCACGGGGAGCTTGCCAGACTCTGCCGTGAGAGCAGGATACTCTTGGTAGCCTTCCGGGTTCTCTGAGAGTGAGAACTAGACAATAAGAAGCAAATGCAGCCGTGCACTTCTGGGAGCTAGGTTTTATAGTCTCTGGGTCTTGGCCGTTAATGGTATTACACGGGCACAGGCAGTTGGTGGGTGTAACTGTCTAGCTACTGGAAGATGGGGAATCTGGGTGGAGGAGGCCCAGTCCCGATCCGAGCAGCCTTAGAGATCTCAGCCCCGGGTTCCGCACACTTGGGTTCCTCTGCCGGTTTCTCCATGTGTGAGGCTCGTCCAAGCGTGTGGAGAATGGTCTTAAGCATGGCTGTGGCTGGTTTCAGGGCTGGGAGGGAAACTCAACCCGCCCCCCTACATGGGGCCCTGGTAAGGACAAGGGGCAGGCGCAGGGGCAGGCAGGAGACTCTGCATTGTTCTCTTCTGGGAGCTTGGTTTTATAATCTCTGGGTCTTGGCCGTTGATGGGATTACATGGGCCGTGTATATCAAAGCACAGAAAAGGTAGGTATTTAATGCATAACTTTTTTTTTTTTTTTTGCTTTTTGGGTCACACCCGACGATGCACAGGGGCTACTCCTGGCTCATGCACTCAGGAATTACTACTGGCAGTGCTCGGGGGACCCTATGGGATGCTGGGAATCGAACCTGGGTTGGCCATGTGCAAGGCAAATGCCCTACCCACTGTGTTATTGCTCCAGCCCCTAATGCATAACATTTTTTTAAATTTTAGTAGTTTTACTTGCTTTTATTTTTATTTTTATTTTTATTTTTTTTTGCTTTTTGGGTCACACCGGCGATACAAAGGGGTTACTCCTGGCTCTGCACTCAGGAGTTACTCCTGGCGGTGCTCAGGAGACCATATGGGATGCTAGGAATCGAACCCGGGTCAGCCATGTGCAAGGCAAATGCCCTACCCGCTGTGCTCTCTCTCCGGCCCTTGCATAACATTTTTTACAAAATTTTTTATTTTATTAAAGAACTGTAGTTTACAAAGTGATTCATAGTTGAGTTTTAGACATAGAGTGCTCCAATACCAAACCCACCACCATTGTCAGCTTCCCTCCAACAATGTCCCAATGTTTCCTCCCACTCACCCCTCACTGAAATCCCCAGTCTGCCATCCTGACAGGCACTTTTCTTTTTTTTGTTTGTTTGTTTGTTTGTAGACCATACTCAGTTGTGTCCAGGGCTTATTCCTGGCTCTGTGCTCAGGAATCACTTCTGTCTGGCTCAAAGGACCATGTGGGATGCTAGGGATCAAACCTGGGTTGGCCGTGTGTGAGGCAAACGCACTATCTGTTGTACCATCACTCTGCCCAGACAGGCACATTTTTTTTTTAATTTATTGAATCACCATGAGAACAGTCACAAAGCCTTTCAGTTCAAGACTCGGTCATTCATACAATGATCAAACACCTGTCCCTTCACCAGTGCACATTTTCCACCACCAAGAACCCCAGTATATCCCCCTCCCACCCATCCCCCGCCTGTGTGGCAGATTTCCACTTTATTCTCTCTCTATCTACGTTGATCACATTCAGTATTACGACAAAAGACACAACATTGTTATTTGGAATTTTCTCCAACATTCAGACCTGCCACAAAGACATCCTTAGATAATTTGTTTTCTATTGCTGCTGATGAAGAGCATATGATGTCCATGTGACCACAATAGCGGCAATGTGATTTTGGATTTCTGATATTTTAGTAATAAACCTAGAGGGATTACTGCCAGAAGCCCCTGGGTTCCGAGATTGGTATGTGTGCTTCTGGGTTCATGGTTGGTCAGAAGCTGAAGGAGGTGTTTGAGGGTGGCAACCCGAAGCATTGTCATGGCGGGGAGCAGGGCCGATTCCACCCCACATCCCATGAAGCCCCACATGCCTCGTCAGTGCAGTCTCATACCTGGCTGTTCATTAGGCTCTAAAAGATGCAGGCCACCATGTCGCCACCACAAAGGGGGAGGGCGGAGGGGCAGACACCCTTTCCCCCCCAGGGCGGCATAGCAGCATAGTTAAATTCATAGTCCAGATGCATTTTGGTTGCGCATTATATTTTGCTCAGATTTTCCCATCACCATTCAAGCCTGTTTTTCAGGGACAAATGCTAGATCATTTACTTTCCATTGATCACTTTGTGGGCTGGAGCAATAGCACAGCGGGTAGGGCATTTGCCTTTCACGTAGCCAACATGGCCAACCAGAGTTCAGTTTCTCCGCCCCTCTCGGAGAGCCAGGCAAGCTGCCAAGAGTATCTTGCCCGCACCACAAAGCCTGGCAAGCTACCCATGATGTATTTGATATGCCAAACACAGTAACAACAAAGTCTCACGATGGAGACGTTACTGGGCCCGCTCGAGAAAATCGATGAACAACAGGAGGATAGTGACAGTGATCACTTTGCGTATAAGGAAATGTCAGGTTCAGAAAATATCAGGTTCAGAAAATAGTCCTGGTATCCGTATGCCAGAGCCATGCTTGTAGAAGCTCGTGGTCACCGGGATTCCATCTGGAGAAGGCGGAGAGACAGCACTTACCCCATCTGGGACCTCCCGGTGATATCAGCTCTATATGAGGCCCAGAGAATTCTCCGGGAGTTGTTGCGCCCTCCAGCCAGTTTTCTTCTTCGCTGCTGTGTGCTGGAAGATGGTTCTGGAGGCGGGTTGTGGGTGTGACTTCTGGAATAAGAGGTTCATTCATTCATTCATCATCCTGTTATTCGTCGATTGCCTTGAGCAGGCCCCAGTAACGTCTCTTTCATCCTAGCCCTGAGATTATATTCAAGGCTCTTTAGGAGAATGAAACCCATCATTGTTACTGGTATTTGGCATATTTGGTACACCACGGGGAGTTTGCCAGACTCTGCCCTGTGGGCAGGCTACATTCGATAGCCTGCCAGTTTGTCCAAAGTAGGAATGAGATAATAAGATGTCATAAAAAGATGTCCTGATTTGCGGCTGCAGGGTTCCGGGAGCTGTAATAAGAGGTTAACAGGAACATTTTTAACTTTGGTTGTTTTCAGTGTTGTTGATTTTGTGGTTTGGATATTTAGCTGTACCATTCTTTAAAACCACTGATATATCCATTTACATCACCAATCTACCCAAATTCCCTTGACCCCTGCCTCTCATAATGCATAACATTATTCAAGTAGAGATCATGCAGTGTCAATTTTATATATTCTGGGAGCATTACTCTTTTATGTCAGTTTTACCTTGTAAATTTAAAGGGTACAATGACTACTTATTTTTCATTTTTTATAATTTTATTTATTGAATCACCATGAGAGCAGTTACAAAGCTTTTGGGTTTAAGGCTCAGTCATACGATGAAACACCCATATCTTCACCAGTGCCCATTCTCTACTACCAAAAACCCCAGTATACCCCCATCCCTCACCCTACCCCTACCTGTGGACCAGATGATTTCCACATTACTCTCTCTCTATTTTGATTACATTCAATATTTTGACACCAGACCCACCATTCTTATTTGGGCAGCGACTCAGGGTCTCGTTGGGATGGGGAGGAAAGGGCGGGCTCCACCCCCATCCTCTGAGGCCCCACGTGTCTCATCACTGAGGGCCCAAACCTGACTGTCGAATGGCCTCTGGTGGATGACGGCTACTTGGCCACCAGGGGGAACAGGCCAAGGCACAAAACCTATTCCCACCTGAGGTGGCCGGGCGCCGGTAACCTACTGCAGGGACCTGACGCATTTCTGCCAAAAGCCATTGAGTTTTGAGATTTGTTTCTGAGTCCCTGGGATCATGGCCATTAAGCAGTCCAATCAGGAACCAAAGAGGCCATGCCTCCAATTATATAGCTGAGCCGGAGGTGGTTTGTGGGTGTGTCTCCCACGTACCTAACTTTTGGCCGTTTACTTTCTTTGTAAACTTTGCCCCGAGTTTTTGGGGTCTGGCCAAAGGCCCAGCAGCAATTTTGGGGTATCTGGAAGTCTGAAGGCGCCACCAGGCTGCTGATGCACTTGCCTCACAGGTACAGATTGACCTGCTGGCGGCACCATACCCCCCAATGACTACATTTCTTAATGCCAGTGCTATAGAATAATATCTAGAACAAAAACACTCACATAGATACACACTTCTAAAATATAAACTCAGAACCTTTATTTTTTGTTTTTGTATTTTGCTTTCTGGGTCACACCTGGCGATGCACAGGGGTTACTCCTGGCTCTGCACTCAGGAGTCACTCCTGGCGGTGCTCAGGGGACCATATGGGATGCTGGGGATCAAACCCAGGTCGGCCGCGTGCAAGGCAAATGCCCTACCCGCTGTGCTATCGCTCTGGCCCAAACTCAGAGCCTTTAAAGGCTTAAAAATACTCAAATAGATTCCTCTCCATATATCTCTTTAGTCTGGGGCTTCAGAATTCACTTTCTTGTTAAAGCTCCACATCAAGAAGGTCCGTTTACATCTACAAGTTTTCTGCAGTCTTCTACTTATTCAGCTTATCTAAATTCAATTTATCAAGGCTATAAGTTTATCTGAAATTCTGCACTTCCCTTGATCTGTCTCCAACTCTCTCATCTCCTCCCCTTCAGGCAAGATGAGGATGTTCTAAACAAGGCAGTTATGCAATTTCAAGTCTTCTAAGAATTGAAAGCTTTTGTTTCCAGTATTCACATGCCATTTTTAACATCCTGCTTTTTCTTATATCCAGTGGAGGTGAAAGAAATGGCAGAAAAAGCAGCTACTGGGCAGCTGGTGGCACCTCCTTGGCACCCTCAGATTAGTTTGAATTTAGAGATTGAAAATGAAAATGAGCCTGATCCTCTGCCACAGCCCCCAGTTAGGGACCTTGAGAAAGCAGATTGTCAGCCAGCTTTCGAGTGTCCCAGGAAGAGTGGAAATGGCAAGTGTGACAAAACAGACAGCAATGACCCCAACAGCGACTGGCATGGCGGACGACCTGGACCTGGCAACTTGGCTAGTAAGTTCAGTTGGAGAAATCAGGATAGAGGTGAGCTCTGTCAGGTTCCCAGCTGTCAAAAACAAGTTAACCTTAGACTAAGGAAGTGGCTCAATAACTGAGCATGCGCCCTGCGTGTTACATGAGACCTTGGTTCAATCTGGGACTTTGCACACAAAACTGGAATACTTCTTTGCTTAATCTTCTCTCCTTACTCATCTGTGTGGAACCCTGGGTTTCCAGGAAAAAGCAGCATGCCCATTTGATCACATTGTCCTTCCTACAGTTAAAGAAATCCACACCTTCTGGTGCTCAGGGGAAAGTGTGCTGCCTGAGATTCCTAATTTTTTCTGACTGGAGCAGACCTGTCTGTCCAATGAAAGTAGAATCATTTTTATGTCCTGATCCTAGACTTGGGTCCAACATGGCAAGGAGTAGAGCCATCCCTACCCAGAGGCAATGTCTACTTTCTGCTTCTCATTTCTTTGCATTGTATTTAAGCCAGAAAAATCCCACCAACTCCTAGAGCGTCTATGCGAAAAGATTCTTAGGAACAAAGGACATTTACTATCATCACTATTAGAGATTTGTAGATGGAAACTGAAGGCTATATTATTTAAAAATTTTTAAAAATTTTTAGTGAAGCAGAATATTTTTATTTAGCTTACTTAGAGAAATGTGAATAGGGGGAAGAGAAAGAGAGAAAAATGCATGTTAGAGAACACAGGCTTCTCCAAAGTGGAAGGTAGAAAAAACCTGAAGGCTATATATTTCTTTCTTTTTTCTTTTTGGGTTAAACCTGGCAACACACAGGGGTTACTCCTGGTTCTGCACCCAGGAATCACCCCTGGCGGTGCTCAGGGGACCATATGGGATGCTGGGAATCGAACCCGGGTTGGCCACATGCAAGGCAAACGTCCTGCCTGCTGTGCTATTGCTCCAGCCCCCAAGGCTACATATTTCTGCCCAAGTAATTTGCTTGCAATCAGGGCATGAAATAGGAAATAACAGTTGCCTGCAAGTCAAAGAAAGGTACATCTAAAATCATTTATCTTAGGTAGAAAGTGTGTGTGTGTGTGTGTGTGTGTGTTGTTTGATTTTTTTGTTTGGTTCTGGGATTGAGTCTTACCCTTGTCAAGCATCACTCCTAAATGTGGCATAAGGGTGAAGTGGAACCTCAGTGAGCTCGAGCCATATGCATTATCTGCCAGAAGCCCTAGTTCAGTACCCAGCACTGCATGGTCTCCTGAGCATTTCCAGGAGTGGTCTCTTAGCACTAGGCTGGGATGGCCACTGATTACCATTGGTGTGTTCCAAAACCAAAATAACAAAATAATATTTTAAAAGGTGATCCTGGGCTGTGTTCTAGTCTCCACACTTTGGAAAGAACCTGAACTTGTTCTGTGGAACACTGGCTGAATCACACAGAACATCTCTTCTCTCATAGCATCCTTTGCCCTTTCCATGCCATCTGAATATTTCTCAATGACTTTGGCCCTGGTTTTGTTACAATCAATAGGTTTCAAACTCCTGCCCTTGAGAAAGAATGAGAAGGCAGAGCCTAGAGAAGTCTCTCAAGCAAATTGTGATGCATCTGTGACCAGCAAGAAATCTTATGGTGTAAGTAATACCTCCTGGAGAGACATGTTAGGCCCAGAGACTGATAGTGTTCCTTTCCTTTCCTTTTCATTTTATTTATTTATTTTTTTGGCCCACACCCAGTGGTGATCAGAGGTTACTCCTGGCTCTACACTCAGGAATCACTCTTCCAGGCCCAGGGAACCATATGGGATGCCAGGGATTCAACCTAGGTCAGCTACATACTAGGCAAGTGCCCTACCCACTGTACCATCACTCTGCCCCCAATGGTGTTCCTTTTCTGTTAGAGCAAATATCCTCATGACTCTGATATGAGTAAAGAAATAATTCCTCCCTGCCTAGTACAGTTGAATCAGTTCAGCTTAAAGCATTGGATCTTTGAGAGAACACAGATATGTCAGGTTCAACTCTGGCTTATAAGTTTCTCATCCAAGTAGATAGACAGACTAGTAGATACACAGGCTTACGATCCGGCAGGTAGCTGGGTCTCATTGGAGCAGGAGTTGCAGTGAAAGTTCTTCACTTGGAATATCCTCAAAGACCCGCAGCCATCTCGAACCCACTGGGAACTTGTGCTCAGATCTGACAACTGTGCCTTAGCGGGATCTGCAGGCTCCAGGCATTTTCTCACATTTGCATAGAAGTTCAGCCTTGCCTTAGAAGTTGAACACATTCTGCCGCATGCAACTAGGCTTCAAACAGGAACCAGGAACCAAAAGTTCCCGTATTTGATGTGGGAAACCACAGTAATTTAAAGAATATTAACAGCAATTGAGATTGAAGCACTGTATGGGCCAGAAAAATAGTTCAGGGATTAAGGCACTTGCCTTGCATGCAGTTGACTCTAGTTGGATCCCTGGCATGATAGGTACCCTGAATACCACTGGGGTTGACCCCAAAACCAGCCCCCTCAAAAAGAGAAAAAGGGGGTAGGCAAGAGCGATAGTACAGTGGGTAGGGCTCTTGCCTTGCACACGGCTGACCCAGGTTCAATCTTCAGTGACATGAAGAAAAGTACTTTTGGGAGGATCATATGGGATGACAAGGATTGAATCCAGATTGGTCGTCGACAAGGCAAACACCCACTACATATGGTTCCCCCAGCACTGCCAGGAGTGACTCTTGAACATCACTCATGGTGGTGTTTAGAGAATTGTATGGGATGCTGGGGAATGAACCTGGTTCGGCTGTGTGCAGTCAGGGCCAGAGAGATAGTACAGTGGATAAAGCACTTGTCTTGCATGCAACTGACTGGGTTTGAGCCCCCAAAATGCGTATGGTCCTCAGAGCCCTGCCAGGAGTGATTCTATGAGCACAGAGTCCAGGAGTAAACTCTGAGCACTGCCGAGTGTGCCCTCCCCCTAAGAAATATATATATAGAGAGAGATGCAGCAATATAAAAATGCAATTGTGATAATATGTGAAGCCTTTCAAAGATCATGTTGTATATGACCGTAACAAAAATGTCTCCTGGGACTGTTCATCCTTTTTTTTTCTCATGTGAGAACAGAAAGCAGGGGCACTTTAAGCATACTGACCTGGGTGGAGAAGCAGGTTGTCAGGAGGGTGGGGAAGTTAAGAGAAGCCAGGCCGTCAGAGAAAGAAATTTCAATTTGATATGCAGGGTGAAAGTGAGCTAAGTGCACAGGAAGAGGAAGTGTGTGGCAGAAGCAGTGTTCTAGGAAGTAAACCACAAAACCTCTGCGAAGGGATGACTGAAAGTGAGGACAGGAGCCAGTGTTCTGGCCATGTGATAATTGGGACCTGAGTATAGAGAAACAAGCAGGAAAAGGGTGGGGTGGAATGAAGATGCTGAAGAAAAAGCTGTTGCTTTCAAATTCTTGATTTTTTTTTATTATTGAGGTTGCACTGATATTTTCACTTTATTTATAGGGCCACACCCTAAATTGCCTGGCCCTTGGGACACCAGGACCACACACCTAGGAGAGGTGGAATCAAGCTTAGGGGATTCTTACATGTTAGGCATGTGCTCTGCCACTTGAGCCTATTGCCTGGCCCTTTATTGCAATTTATTTATTTATTTATTTATTTATTTATTTTTGGCCTTACCAGGCAGTACTCAGGACTTAACTCCTTGCTTTGCACTCAGAAATCATTCCTGGTGGTGCTCAGAGGATCATATGGGATGCCAGGGAATGAACCGAGATTGGCCTCTTGCAAGACAAGTGCCTTAGCCACTGCACTATACCTCTAGCCCCTGCGTTGTGATTTTTTAAAAATCCTGTTTTTTCACTGGAAAAATCCTATTTCGGGAGCTGGAGCAATAGCACAGTGGCAGACCTGGGTTCGATTCCCAGCATCCCATAAGGTCCCCTGAGCACCGCCAGGAGTAATTCCTGAGTGCAGAGCCAGGAGTAACCCCTCTGCATTACCAGGTGTGACCCAAAAATTAAAAAAAAAACCCTACTTCATTTTGTTTTTCGGATGGGGGCACACCTGGCAGTGCTCAGGGCCTATTCCTGGCTCTGCATTCAGGAATTATTCCTGGTAGTGTGGGCGGGATTGTATGGGATGCCAGGGATTCAACCTGGTTCAGCAATGTACAAGGCCACATACAGTTTCTTTGAACCGGATCACTGAGACAGGAGAAATAGTACAGGAATTAAGTTATTTGCCTTGCATACCACTGACTCTTTTGATTCTTAGCACTGCATATGGTCCCCCCAGCACTGCCAGGAGTGACTCCTGAACCTAAAGCTAGGGATATCATCCAGAATATCACCAGATGTGACCCCCCACCCCCGGTAGGAAACCCAAGGGACTCTCCAGTTCTGAGCAGCTCAGCGTGCTCATCTGGATGATGGTACCAGCACATGGGCCATGCCCTTGACATTTGGGGTGTCTACATATAGTCTCTACTTGTTGTCTAGAGCCCTTCTCTGTTCTGAGAATTTCCGAGCAGAAAGGGTGCTGATCCTGGCCTGCACCAGACTCCCAACCCATGGGGCAGATAGGTCTGTGAGGCTCAGGGCTGTCCTCTCTGAGTACAGGCTCCGGGCCATTCTCCGTTTGCTCAGGAAGGGGGCTTCCAAATAAGCAGGGAGGAACCTCTCAGGGGGAGCGTGACTGTGGGTAGCACTGTTACTGACACTGCCTCTTGCCAGAAAGAGCTTTTCTTACAGTGAACATCCACTTAAAAGTGATTTCCTATGTTGTTAATAGGACCCATCTTTGCAGTCATCTCATTCGCCAGAGCCGTTGGAGGAAATGATGGATTTTTTAACTCCAGAGCATGAATATTTTTACTCTTTGACTGCTCAACAAAACATGGCTCTGGAGGTAAAAATCACAGCCAGGGTAAAGTATATATTTTTAAGCCTTCTTCGTGAACCCTGTAAAGTTGTTTCTATTGAGAAAATTCTACAAACATTAACTTATACTGGTATGTGTTTATTTTTTGGTGGGGTGGGACCACACCCTGTGATGTTCAGGGGTTACTCTTGGGTCTGCACTCAGAGATCACTTTCGGTGGTGGCTGAGGAACTGTATGGAATGCCAGTGATCAAATGCGGGTCAGCTGCGTGCAAGGCAATTGCCTTTACCTGTTATACTATTGCTCCGGCCTAACTGGTACATGTTTGGAAAAACCAGTGGGAAAGTAAGATTTTTTTTTTTTGAGAATGACAGATCATATAGCACTTTTTTTTCCTTTTCTCTTTCTTTTCTTTTTTTCTTTTATACCTGGCTATGCTCAGGGCTTACTCCTGGTGGGGCTTTTGGGAACATAAGTAGTGCTAGGGATGATCACACCCAGATTGACGTGCAAAAGAAGTGCTTTACCCATTGAACTGTCTTTGTTTTTTCAAAGACCTTTTCTTCGTGGCGCCTAATTAGCTTCTTCTGTGGGGAAGAGAAGTTCTCTTCTTTATAGAGAGCTAGTGATCTGCAGATACAGAGAATTAGCCCTAATCTGCCAGCAGTGGTGGGAGAGCCAGGATTTGAGGCAAGCCTTCAGGAGAGCTGTCTCCCATCCTCCTTCTTCAGGGCTGAGGTTTGGCTAAGTGTACAGCACATGCCGTGCATGTCTGAGGCCCTGGATTCTATCCCTGGCATTGCACAAATAAAGTATACTTTTCCTTTGTCTGTGCTTCTGAAAACTCAGAGTTTTTTGTTTGTTTGTTGGTTGGTTGTTTTGCCACACCTGACCACTTAGTGACCTCCCCTGATGTGGGGCTTGGGGCTCACTCATGATAGTGCCAGAGATAGAACCGGGGCTCCTGCATGCAAAGATGTGCTCTGGCCCTCTAGCCCTTTGGACAGTCTTTTAGCACCCAGTTTTCCAGTTTTATTTATCTTACTTTGGGGCCACATGTGCTCAGGGGATACTCCCATTTGGTGCTCAGGACTGGTCCTGCTGGTGCTTAGGGAGCCGTGAGGTTCTAAGAATCAAACCCAGGCCTCCTGCATGCAAAGTATGTGTTTCAGCCTGTTAAATTATCTCTCTTGCCCCCAGTTTTCCTTTTGTTTTTATAATTTTTTGGTTTTGGAGGGAGGTTACACCCAACAGTGCTCAGAATTTACTCCTTACCCTGTGCTCAGGGATCCCTCCTGGAAGCGCTTGGGGATCATATAAGGTGCTGGGGACCGATATGGGATGGGCTACAGGCCAAGCAAGTGCCTTCCCATCTGTGCTGTTTCTCTGGCCCCGGTTTTCCACTTTTTTAGGTTAATTTTTTTTGGTTTGTTTGTTCTTTGGGCCATGCCTGGAAGTGTTCTGGGGTTACTCCTGGAGCGGCACTTAGATATTACTCCTGGCAATGCCCAGGGGGTCATATAGGGTGCCAGGGATCAAACGCAGGTCAACTGGGTGCAAGGCATATTCCTTACCATCTCTATACTACCTCTCTGCCCCTAATAAGTTCTTAATGTCTTCAAAGCAGTTCTATAAAAGATTCAGGAACTGGAGAGAGAAAGAGCTGCGCAGATGCTTTCAGGGGTGGGTCTTGGGACCACACGGTCCCCTGAGAACACCTGGGAGCAAACGCTGAGCACTTTTGGGTGTGGCCTAATATGCCCCTTTCTACTAAATAAAATATAACAGCAGGAACCTTAAGGAGCTTTTCCAATCTTGTGTTGTTGGAGTTTCTTGTGTTTGGGTCAGGGGTGGGACTCTGGGCTTCATATATTTGAAGCATGCACTAAATCCTGGGTCCCAAAGTTTTAATGGTTTAAGAACATGAAGGAGGGGCCAGGGAGCTAACTAGGAGGGCTGAAGTGAATGTTTTGCATGCTGGGATCCCCAGTTTTCGCTCCCCCAGCATGATCCTGGGAGTAGCCCCCAAGGATTGCTGGGTGTGACTCAAAAGGAACAATGAAAAAGAGCATGAAGGAATTGACCTTTTGATGACATGTATATCTCCAGTGAATTTCTTTTCTCTGTCTATCTTTTCTAGACTTCAAGCCCCATAGAAGAGAGCTTTAAAGGAACACAGGATGCATTTACCCAAACTCAAGCTTCTGGTAATAAACCATCCGGGCAGACTCCCCTGCACTGCTTCTATCTTTGTATTGATCACAGATGTTTATCTCTAGAACAATCCTGAATGATCCCATCCGGCCTTTCAGTGCAGATGAGAAAGCCAAGACCTCGGGGTTTCCCCTCGTTAGAAAGAATCCCATGCCCCTCAGAGCTCATCCACTCATCATGTTACTGTACTTCCCCTCGAATTCTTCAAGTATGTGTTAGTGATGACTTCATTTCCCCCTCTAGTCTTTCATGAGATTTCAGGCTCCTTGTTGCAGTTTTTTGGCTAGCATCTTAGCAAAGAGGTGTTTTATTTTCCTTTTGTGGGGTGGGGCCATGCTGGCGATGCTAAGGGATTACTCCTGGTTCTGCACTCAGGAATAGCACCTGTCATTGCTCCAGAGACCATACAGGGTACCAGGGATTGAATCAGGCTTGACTGCATGCAAGGCAAGTGCTTTACCAGCTGTGCTATCTCTCTGGCCCCTTAGCAAAGAATTAATAACAGCTAACAGTACTGAATCAATATTCTTCCCTTGGAGCTTTGGATTCTATATAACTTTGCAACTTTGTTTGTTTGTTTGTTTGTTTTTACTGGAAAGTTTACATAGAATTAACAGCACAGTGTAGCACAAGATAAAATATGTGGAACATTCTGATAGAGAAAATTTAAAAACTGCACACAATGGGGTTTGGGAGACAGTACAGCGGGTAGGGCGTTTACCTTGCATGCAGCTGACCCTGATTCAATCCCTGGCATCCCATATGGTCTCCTAAGCACCTCCAGGAGTAATTCCTGAGTGCAAACCCAGGAGTAACCCCTGAGCATCACCAGGTGTGACTCAGAAAGCAAAAAAAAAAAAAGAAAAAGAAAAAGAAAAAAAAAACCATTGTCAACTGTGGGGTTTGGGAGACAGCTCAAAGACTAGTGTGCAGGTTTTGCATGCTGGAGGCCCAGATTTTATCCCTGGCAACACATGGTGAACACCTTTGAAAGTAACCCTCAGAGCACTTATCTGTGAGTAGTTTCCAAGCACTGCCAAGTATGACCTCAAAAACAAAAATAAAAATGAAAGAAAAACCATTCACTTTTTTTTTTGGGTCACACCCGGTGATGCACAGGGGTTACTCCTGGTTCATGAACTCAGGAATTACTCCTGGCGGTGCTCGGGGGACCATATGGGGTGCCGGGGATCGAATCCAGGTCGGCCGCGTGCAAGGCAAATGCCCTACCTGCTGTGCTATCGCTCCAGCCCTCACTTTTATTTTTTTAAGGTGTGGGACAGCTCTCACTTTATTTTCTTCTTGTTGTTGTTTTCTTATTATTCTTACAGTGCTCAGGGCTAACCTCTGGCCCTGTAGTTAGGGATCGCTCCTGGTGGTGCTATGGTCATATGTGATGCTGAAGATCGAACCTGGGGCAGCCGTGTGCAAGGCACACACCCTACTTGCTCTACTATCACTTTTGACCCACTATTTTTATTTTATTTATTTATATTTTTGGTCACACCTGGCAAGACTCAGGGGTTACTCCTGACTCTGCCCTCAGGAATCACTCCTGGCGATGCTCAGGGGACCATATGGATCCCAGGAATTGAACCACGTGCAAGGCAAATGCCCTACCTGCTGTACTGTCGCTCCAGCCTCACTATTTTTTTTTAATAATATGGGAGTCCTGATATTTATTCAGCCATTGATTAAGCTGATTGAATTGGGTATGAACTCCACGTTACTTTTTCTTATTCTGAATGTTAGTTTTATTATTATCTCCCTCCACCCCCTTTTTTTTTGATTCACCGTGAGATACAGTTACAAAGCTTTCATGTTTGAGCTTAGGTCATAAAATCATCAAACACCCATCCCTTCACTAGTGCACATTTTCCACCACCAAAATCCCCAGTATTCCCTCCCCCCACCACCGCTCCAACCCTTCCCCTGCCTGTGTGGCAGACAATTTCCCCCATACTCTCTCTACTTCGGTTACATTTGTTATTTCAACACCAGTCTCGCCGCCACTCAAACCTGCCAAAAAGGCAATGCTAGGTGATTTATTTTGTATTGCTTGTTATGGATAGAATATAATGTCCAGGAAATTCTGTGTCATTCTCTTCCAGGAGCTTTAGTTTATAGTTTCTGGGTCTTGGCCATTGATGAGATTACATGGCTCTGGGGGCGGTTTGTGGGTGTGACTGCCAAGTTTCTGGAAAACTAGGGAGCTGGGGGGAGGAGGCCCAGTCCTGATCCAAGCAGACTTGGATATCTCAGTCACAGGTTCCTGCATAACTGGGTTTTCCTGCCAGACCGCTCTCTGGTGAGGTTCATCCTGTCTTGGCTGAGGCTCATTCTCTCTTGGGTGAGGCTTGTCTGACTGTGTGTAGAGTAGCCTTGGGCATGGCGGCAATTGGGTTCTGGAGGTTTTCAGTTGCTTGGCTCTGCTTGGGGCAGGGAGGGAAACTCAGCCTGCCCCCGTCTGAGGTGCCCTGTGGTGAGGACAGCCTGACGCAGGGTCAGGACATTCTGCAGTACTCTCTTGGGAGCTTTAGTTTATAGTCTTTGAATCTTTGATGACTGTTGATGAGATTACATGGCGCTGGGGGCAGTTTGTGGGTGTGACTGCCAAGCTACTAGAAAACTGGGGAACTGGGGGGAGGAGGCCCAGTCCCGATCTGAGTGGGCTTGGAGATCTCAGTCACGGGTTCCCACCTACCTCCATGTTACTGGCCCTAACTGTGTCTTTTGATCTTTTGCAATATATTTTTTTTTCTTTTTGGGTCATATCGAGAATGCTCAGGGGTTATTCCTGGCTCTGCACTCAGGAATTACTCCTGGCGGTGCATGGGGGACCATATGGGATGCCAGGGATCGAATCCAGGTCGGCTGTGTGCAAGGCAAACGCCCTACCCACTATACTATCACTCCGTCCCCTCGTTTGAGATTTATGGGTCTCTGAAATAAGGCCAATAAATGAGCTTACATAGCTGAGCTGGAGGTGATTTGTGGGAGTGTCTCTCACATACCTTTTTTTTAATGTAGTAGTATGGATAATTATTCAGCCATTGATTAGGCTGATTGAACTGGGCGTGAAGTCCACCTTTTTTTTTCCCTTTTTTATAAATTTATTTCTTGAATCACCATGAGAGCAGTTACAAAGCTTTTGGGTTTAAGTCTCAGTCATACAATGATGAATCACCCGTCCCTTCACCAGTGCCCATTTTCCACCACCAAAAACCCCAGTATACCCCCATCCCCCACACTCCCCCTACCTGTGGGGTAGATGATTTCCAAATTACTCTCTCTCTCTCTCTCTCTCTCTCTGCCTTGATTACATTCGATATTTTGACACCAGACCCACCATTATTATTTTTTTTTTTTTTTGGTCACACCTGGTGTTGCATAGGGGTTACTCCTGGCTCATGCACTTAGTAATTACTCCTGGCAGTGCTTGGGGGACCATATGGGATGCTGGGAATCGAACCTGGGTCGGCCGCATGCAAGGCAAATGCCCCACCCACTGTACTATCACTCCAGCCCCTAGACCCACTGTTATTATTTGGGATTTTACCCCAACACTCAGATCTGCCAAAAAGGCAACCATAGACAATTTGTTTTCTATTGCTGGTTATGAATAACCTATGATGTCATGCAGCTGCAGTAGTGGCCGCGCGATTTTGGAATTCAGAAATTTTAACAATTGAATCTGGAAGGATTTCTGCCAAAAGCCACTGGGTTCCGAGATTTGTTTCTAAATCTCTTGGATCATGGCTGTTAAGCAGCTTGATCAGGAGCCAGAGAGGTCGTTTGTGGCTGGCAACTCGGGGTCTCGTTGGGGCAGAGAGGAAAGGGCCAGCTCCACCCTCATCCCGTGAGGCCCCACGTGTCTCATCACTGTGGGCCCAAACCTGACTGTCCAATGGCCTCTGGAGGATGGTGGCCACCAAGCCGCCAAGAGGGAGCAGGCAGAGGGACAGCACCCTTTCCCCCCTGGGGTGGCCTGGCATGGGTAACCAACTGCAGGGACTGGACGCATTTCTGCCGAAAGCTTCTGGGTTCCGAGAGTCTCTGAGATCATGGCCATTAAGCAATTTGAACAGGAACCAGAGAGGACATGCTTCCAATTATATAGCTGAGCCGGAGGTGTTTTGTGGGTGTGTCTCCCACATATCTAACTTTTGGCCAGTTACTTTCTTGGTAAACTTGATCCCAAGTTATTGGGATCTGGCCAAAGGCACAACAGCAATTTTGGAGTATCTGGAAGTCTGAAGGCACCACCAGGCTGCTGATGCACTCACCCCGCAGGTACAGGATGACCTGCTGGCGGCACCATACCCTCTGGCTGCATTATTTTAATTTCAATTTTTTAAATTTTGGGAACACAGCTGGAGGTGTTCAGGACTTACTCCTAGCTCTATGCTCCCATATAAGTCCTGGCAGGGTTTGGGGGACCATATGGAGGGAATGTAGATGAAACCTGGGTCAGCCATGTGCTAGGCAAGTATCCTAGCCACTACACTATTTCTCTGGCCCCAGCCCCAGTTTTCCTTTGTAATCTTTTAGGTAAATAGTTAAATTTTCAGGGAATTTAAAAGAGTCTCCAGACCTGGATATTCGATTACCTACCTCTTTCTGCACAGTTACTTCCTGCAATCACTTTCTGTGTGGCCTTTATGTGGCTATTTCATTTGGGTCTGGAAGAAAGTTGAGTGGAATGGAGAGATTATAGGAAGGCAAGTCAGAAAATCAGCCTAATTTAGTACAGACTTCTGAAGCATATGAGAGAGGACTGATTTCAACTTTTTCCCCCCAGCCTTTCTGTACTTCCCTTCCCACATAGGCTCTGATATAGATTTCCTCCATTGTGGATACATTGGGACATGTGCTGTGTTCTAAGTGCCGTTAAAAACCAACTGACTTTTCTGTATGACTTTGGGCAAGTCATTTCACCCCGGGGCCCCTTTTTCTTATATAAGGGAAAGGGAGCCTTCCAGAAAGATAGTACAGCAGGTAAAGTGCTTGTGTGTTCTGTCCCCAACACACCGTATGGAGTTAACGGAGCACTGCTGGGGTAGATCACTGAGAGGAGCCTACTTGCGCATTTCTAATTTCTCTTCTAGCTCAGAGTCATACATACTAGAAATTCCTTAATGCTTCCTAGGTGCTCGTGCTGTGTCAGCATTTGAAGGGGATCTCAGGAAGAACCCCAGTACTTGCCCCACTGGTGGGGTTGATGAAACTGCTCTGGAGGTCTTCTCCATTTCCCACCAGGCATAAGGAAGGGGTCATGACTTTTTTTGCCAGCCGGGCTGACTGCTTTGTCTGTCTGCGTATCTGTAAATCAGAGCAATAGATTAGAGGAAAGGAAAATAGATGTCAGCCTTGACTTCCCTAGGGTATCTTTTCTTACTGGAATTGGAACAGAATAGCATTGATGCCAAAGAGAATGGGAAAGAGTTGAATTAGGTCCTTAGTTCTTAACACTCGCCCTCACTCTTTGGTGTGTGTTGGCCAAGAGACAGCAGTTGGGCAACATCCGGCTAATGGTCTTTTCTATCTGAAATCTGGGAACAAACAGTTCTTGGTTTCAGCGCCCCCTGGTGTCTATTGACAGGAACGAGGTCAGTTTGCCTTCCTGAAAAAAATACAAAACAAAACAACATTTGTGTGCAGAAATTACTGCAGCTATAATTGAAAGACCAGTAAATGGCTTAATTGTACTATGAGTGGCAGAATATAGTACTCCCCTCTGAGAAAGGAAAATAAACTTTCAGAGAAAAAACCTCTATACAGTACTCTATCTACTCCATCCAAACCCAATTAGGGAAACACTTTGTTTATCCAAATTAATTTTTATTCTCAACCAGACCAACGGAAATTCTAGGGAACGAAAATAACAATCTGGTTTGGCAAAAACTTAGTTCAACGACATTTGCTTTATTCTCTCAGGTGAAAAAAAGTTCCCTGTGAGAAAAAGTGTTGAAAAGAATTCTGAGGTTTGGACCAAGTCTCAATTCCAATCAGCACAAATACGAAGGTATGTATTATTACTGTTATTATTACCATCATCTTTGGGGGGGAGCAGGTATTTGGGCCACACCCGGCTCTAGCATTTAACCATCAGGCCCAGTTAACCTAGAATTGCTGGCCCCAACACATCCTAAACACTGCTTGGGCAGACCCCCCCCTCCTTCAGAAATAGTAATTATAGATGTTAAGTACCTGGCACAATAACTGTCAATTTACCCCTCTCTGGGCCTCATTTTCCTTATCTATAATAATTATAGCCAGTGTTTCCTTAGCAGCTGCCATATGTCAGGCCTCTATTTTCCCAAATTTAATTTCTCAGCATCCCATATGGTCCCCTGAGCACCACCAGGAGTAATTCCTGAATGCAGAACCAGGAGTAACCCCTGTGCATTGCTGGGTGTGACCCAAAAAGAAAAACAAAAAAACCACCAAATTTAATTTCTGGTCTACAGTCATACCACCCTGAACGCGCCCAATCTCTTCTGATCTTGGAAGCTAAAGTTAGCTTTTGAAACACACAGATTGATATCTCCAATTCACCAATAACAAAAGCAAAATTCAGGTAGTGTTAAGTCTTTTTTTCTGAGAACACAGGGCTATGAGGTACTGTATCAGTCAAGGTAGGCTAGGTTTTGTAACCCCACAAACCAACCCTAAGTTTTAGGGTTCAGAACAAGAAGTCTTTTTTATTTGTTTATACTTCATAGACCTCTTGGGTTGATCATGGCTGAATGAGATCCATGCTGGTATGAGACATGCATTTTGTGCATCTTTGATTGCTGACATCTTTGATTGCTTTGATTGCTGATTGCTGACGCTGTGACAGTTGGTGAGACTGGAGAAGGCTGAGGGGTTTTGTTTTAAGTAGCTTGGATCGACCTCTGGATAAGCTGAAGAGTTCAGATATTGTTCCGGGCCAAGCACACCAGCTCATGCTCTTGCCTTGGACCCCACATGAACCTCTGAACACAGAGCCAGGAGAAGCCCTGGGCATCACTTGGTGTGGCCAGAATTATTTTTTTAAAAAGTTTCTTGTGTCCAGGTGAGATTGTTTTCCGGTATTTGTCCTGAGGCCAGAATTCTCCCCCGCTTCCATATTCTCAGCAGTGTCATACTCAGTACAATGTGTGTTAGTTGTACTTCCAGGTCCTTTGTATTGGATTGTAGTGCCATATTTTTGCCAAGTAATTGTCAAAACCATTGCTGGAGCAATAGCACAGTGGTAGGGCATTTGCCTTGTGCGCGGCTGGCCCGACTAAGCTGGGTTTGATTCCTCCGCCCCTCTTGGAGAGCCTGGCAAGCCTCTGAAAGTATCTCACCCTCACAGCAGAGCCTGGCAAGCTCCCTGTGACGTATTGGATATGCCAAACGCAGTAACAACAAGTTTCACAGTGGAGACGTTACTGGGCCCGCTTGAGCAAATTGATGAACAGTGGGAGGACAGTGCTACAGTGCTTGATTGCTGAGGGAGAAGAAAAGGGGACATGGTTAATTTTACCATGACTTTTAAAGTTTCTGGCCCCGAAGTCATACACATTACTTTGTATAGCATCTCAATGGTTAAAATAAATCATGGAAATTTCCGTAATTGGGAGACTCAAAAAGGGTTGCCCTATTATGTGTTTAGAAGGAGAAATAAACATTTTAGTAAACAAAATTAATAAAGCATTAACTCACCTAATAAATCCATTTTATTTCTTCTTTTGGTGGGCCATGCCCAGCGGTGCTCAGGGGTTAACTCCTGGCAGGGTTGGAGGAGCATATGAAATTCTTGGGATTGAATTGGGGTCAGCTGCATGCCAGGCAAGCACCTTACCCACTGTACTGTTCTTCGACCAAAATCTGTAATCTTCCCTTTATACTGTTGCTCCCACAGGATTGATACAACAGTTAAAAATTTTAAAGCATTTGGAGAGATTTAGCATGGGACCAGCTTCTAATCAATAAATATTAAAATTGAATTCTAAAAATTGGTTAAAATAGAAATGGCCAAGTTTGTATTTTATATCATGTTCTTTTTTGGTTTGCTTTTTGGGCCAAATATGATGGTACATGGGGTTACCATGAGGTGCTTGGGCTTCCTGCGTGTGCAAAGTATAAACTCAGCCAATTGAGCGATTTCTCAGGTCCTTTTGGGATTGAGCTTCTCTTGACCTGTTTTGATTCTGCATATCAGGCAGCTGTCTCTTAGTTGCTTGGACCCCCATAACTAGGTCTGTTGCTCCAGCCTTCATCCTCAACAAAGTTCATGTATTCCATTGAGTTCCTCAGTTACATACTCCACTGTTATCTACAGTAGCCAGGATCTGAAATCACCCCAAGTGCCCAACAACAGACCAGTGAACAGGGAAATTGTGATATGGAACCAGAGGGATAGTATAGGGATTAAGGTTCTTACCTTGCATGGTGGATATGGGTCCACAAGTGCAGCCAGGAGTGATTCCTGAGCCCAGAGTCAGAAATAAGCCCTGAACACAGCTGGTTGTGACCCCAAACCAAAAAACTGAAATAAAACACAACAGCCAGAAGTTGTGATACATAAACACAATACTCACTATGAGAAAAGTTGAAATTTTGCAGTTCGCAAAACTTGGATGCAATTGGAGGGTGTCATGCTGATTGAAGTGAGCCAGAAAGTAAATGATAAATACCAGATGAGCTCACTGATATAAGGAGTATAAAGAAACAACACAGTATCATGGTCAGAGAGATAGTACAGTGGGTAGAGTGCTTACCTCGTATGCGACCAACTGGGGTTCAATCCCCAGCATCCCATATGATCCCCCAACACTGCCAGGAGTAATTCTTGAATGCACAGCTAGGAGTAACCACTAAGTATTGGTGAGTGTAACCTAGAAACTACAAAACAGAAAGAGTGGGGAGGGATTAGACAATTAGCTAATTGGAAATAAACTCCGAGACATGATCAATAAAACTGGGAACTGAGACTAAGAGGTTTGGGTAGAGGTTGGGGAAGAAAGTAGGGGATAATGGTGGCAGGATCATTAGCCATTGGTGGGGATTGGGTGTCATGGCTCTGCAGCTGTAAAAGCAGACTCCAGTAGTATTGGAGACTGATGTCTCAATAAAAAAAATGTCAATTAGTTAAAAAAAAGAACTACCACATTATTCTACCATTTGATTTGAGATGGGTCGACCCTTAGAATTTATGCACTGTCTTGAGGCGGGAGAGATAGTACAGTGGTCTGGCACTTCCCTTGCATGCAGCCAACCTGGGTGTGATCCCATATGCTTGTCTCTCAAGCACAGAGCCAGGGATAGCACCTGAGCATGCCAGAATGTGATAAAAACAAAGAATTTATGTACTCTCTGGGGATGAAACTGAGGTCCAGAGCAAGGCCCAGACATGCCTGGGGGTATGTGACTAGACAGTAGTAGAGCCTGGAACAGAATCCAGAATCTACTTTTCTACTTCTGAGTCCTAGGACTCTTCCTGTTGCCACCTCATGTTACATAAACTGGTCCTTTGAATCAAGATAATGTCCTTTACTGTCAGCAGAGTCATAATTTTCTCACTTTATCTTTTACAGTACTGAAGATGAAAAAGAGGACACATTAAGGGAATCACCAAAGGAACCAAAAGAGAAAGACATGTGAGGCCACCAAAGGGTTACTTGAAGACATTGAGTATTGGGTTAGGGAGATAGCTCAGAGCGCTGGAGGGAGCCCAGGGTTCTGTCTCTGGCGCCACCAGGAGTGACCCTTGAGCACTGAGCTGGAGCCAGCCCCCGAGCATGTGTGGCCCAAAATCCACAGATGTATGTTGAATACCCTTGGTTTTAGGGGGATAATATTTCCTTGTTTATAAAAGTCCACATTCTTGTCATTTTTATGAACATTTAATGTGAGCTTGTTTTTTCTTTCACCAAAACACTGTTATTAAGTCGATGGTGTGAGCTATAATTAACAGCATCTTACATGAAGGAAATAGTGATGATAATAATATAAATTTATACTTGAGATAGATTAAATCTGTTTTCAACATATATATCTTTTCATCTATGGAAAGTTTATATGTTTTTATTTTTAGAAAATAGGAAAGCTTATTGGAAAGTAAGTAAAAGAGAAAAAAACTCCCTGGCAGGGGAGGAACTTAGTGTAGGACTAAGTTTGGAAAGTTTATTTTTAGTGGAGTGATTGAGATATGCATAAAGTTAACCTCCCACTCCTTTTTTTTCCTCTGGTGTTCAGGGGCTACTCATGTCTCAATGCTTGGGGTAACTCCTAGTGGTATTCAGGGGACCATGTAGTAGGGAGGATCGAATCCAGTGTTCCTTAATCCATAGTATGCATTCCAACTCTTTGAACTCTTCCAGTCCTAAAGTTAATATCTCTTTTAAGAGGTTTGGGGATGTAGCTCAGTGGGAGAGCACTGCCTTGCATGTTTGAAGCCCCTGGATTGATCTCTTGTGCTGAAGAAAGGGGGGCAGTGAGAGAGGGAGAGGTTGGGGGAGGGAGGGAGCGCAGATATGCACTTTAATTTGGGGGGAAGTATTTTTTTCTCTTCGGAGTAAAGAGATTTTTTTGAACTTTTTTTATTGAACCACTGTGAGATATACCCTTACAAAGGGGTCTATGATTAGATTTCAGTCATCCAGTGTTCCAACACCCATCCCTCTACGAGTACATTTCCCAGCACCAGTGTCCCCAGGTTCCCTCCCATCATCCCCCACCCCTTGCCTGCCTCTATGGCAGGCGCTTTTGAGAAGAGTTTTTTTTAATTCTGGCATAATGCCAAAAAGGATTTTTTTCAAGAGCTTTTTTCCTGTGTGTGTGGTGCTGGGAATCAAATGCAAGACCTCACACATGCAGGACATGTCCTCTACCACTGAGCTATATTCTTAGGAACATATTTAATTCCTTGTTTGTATGTAGATGCTACTTCTAGCAGAGCCTGGGAGGCCGGGGGCCAGCTCGGTGATGCGGGTCCTGCAGTGGGTGCTTGATGGCTTCGTTGCTTGGGTGTGGTGGTACTCAGTGCTTGCTAGCCACCAGGGCCACCTCCCACAGTGCTGGGGGGACCATGTGGTGGCCAACATAGGGATTCACATTTGAGCCATTTCTCAGGTCTTGAGCACATTTGAAAAATAACCCTTGGGAACCAAAATGATAGTACTGTGGGTAAAGACTTGCCTCGCATGCAGCCAACCTGCATTTGGTCCCTGGAATCCCATATGACCCTCCGAGCACTGCCAAGAGTGATCCCTGAATACATAGCCAGGAGTAATGCCTCTGAGTACCACCAGGTGTGGCACTTAAAATGAAAAAATCACTCTCAAGGGGCCAGGGAGATTGCTCAAGTGATAGTGCACCTGCTGAAGTGCGTGAGGCCCTGAACCTTGTCGAGGTTCCAAGCACCTGAGAGGACCTGAGCACTGACAAGTGTGGCCCCTATGGGAAAAGAAGGAAAATCATCACTCTCAGGCATATACAGTTTTGTTTTTCTTTCATTTAAACAAAGTTTTTTCTTTGACGTGAGGCCTCCCAAGTAGTGCTCAGGAGGTCTGGGGGATACTCCTGGTGATCCTCAGCCGAATGACTGGATGGTTCAAGGTTCCAGCCTGATAATTCAGTGCTGCTCAGACTCAGCAGTGTTGGGGACCACAAGGGTTTCCCTGATGGTGCTTTGGACCCTCCAGGCTACACCCAGTGGTACACGGGTTCAAGCAGTGCCACAGAATAAACCCAGTCTTTGTGTATGCGAGGCATGTGTCCTGATCCCTGAGCTATCTGCCAATCCCTTGTTTGATTTTTCTAAACATCTTTCAGTTACTGTATGATTTTTAATCCTTAGAACATTGACAGACATTCAAGACCTGTCAAGTATCAACTGTGAACAGGATGGTTCTTTCAAGGAAACCTCATGCAAAACACCCAAAATAAACCATGCACCAACTAGTGTCAGCACTCCAGTCAGTCCAGGTAATTATCACTGAGAGAGGAACTGTCGTTGGTTCAAGGAAGCCAGGCAAGGGGCTGACCAGTGTTGAAGGCAGTGCAGAAGGCTTCTGCCCACCCAGAGCTGAAGGGGCGAAGCCTGTGGATGTCCAGGGAGGGGCACTGGTGTGGGTAAGCTGCCCTGAAGGTTTTTCATTTTAGTGATAGAGACAGGCAGGTGTGGGGTCTACTGTGTACTCTTGGATTTAGAGCAGGAAATTTATGATATCTAGAGTGAGAAACTTAGAACCATGCCTTGTGCCTAGGCTTGGTTCTGTGTTCCCAGCATCCCATACAGGCAGTACCAACTCTCCTCTCCTTGAGTATTCGTTCTTTTTAATATACTTGTGGTTCAAGACACCTGCCTAATGTTGTTGACCATGTTTGGGGACCCTCAGACCTTATGGAGCTGTTTTAGATCAGTGGTTACTCATTAATAATTTAGAGGATCACTGGTACAAGAGCAGAGTTTGGGGGTTTTGTTTCTAAATAACAGGGGTTCAGATTCTTACTGTCCTCTTTTCCACAACAGAGTCAATTTCTTCGACCGCCAGTCAGTATGCAGACTGCCTGGAAAGTATTCCATTTCAAGTTAAAACAGGATCTACTTTAGTTTTGAACAGTCAAGAAGCTATTCAAGTCTCATCTGATAAATCTGCTACTGTCCAGGAGAAAGCCAAGAGCTTAGGTTCCCTTCTTAGTTCCTCTAAAGCGCCCCCGTCAAGAGTGGCTGATCTGGTAAGTGATCCTGCCCTGGGTACAGCTGACAGAGGCAGCCCAAAGGCCTCCGAGATCCAGAGTGCTAAGATTTCTCCAAATTTATTTTTGGATAAAAAAGGCAAGAAAAGAGCTGACTCCTCACCAAGCTTTCCGGGGGCTCCCTCTGGATTGGAGTCTAGATTGGAGATGGGTCTTGGACCTGGTGCTTTCAGCAACATCCGGCAGCTTCTGGGGGCTGGATGATAATCCAGCAAGAAGAGTGTTTGCCTTGCACAGGGCTGCCCCAGGTTCGATCCCCGGCATCCTATATGGTTCTCCAAGCACTGCTAGGAGTAATTCTTGAGTGTAGAGCCAGAAATAACCCCTGAGCATCTCCAGGTATGATACAAAAAGTCAAATAAAAGAGAGAAAAAAGAAGCTACCTCTGCCACAGCTTAGGATGCTCTATCTGCATTGTTCTTTCTCTGATTTGATTCTGCTTATTGGGGCTCCTTTTACTTACTCCTTGTTACTTCCCTGAGAATTTTTTAATTAAATTTTTTTAATAGTGAGACATCATGAGGTACAGTTGCAGACTTACACATTTTTGTGCTTGGGTTTCAATTACACAATGATCAAACACCCTTCCCTCCACCAGTGCGCATTTCCCACCACCACGGATCCCAGTATCCCTCCCACCCCCCATCCTCCCCATCCCACCCTGTCTCTGTGGCAGGGCATTCCCCTCTGTTCTCTCTCTCCTTTTGGGTGTTGTGGTTTGCAAAAGAGACATTGAGTGGTAATCATGTTTGGTCTATAGTCTACTTTCAGCATGCTTCTCCCATCCTGGGAGGATCCTCCCAACACCTTTATTTGGTGTTCTCCTCTTTATCTGAGCTCCCTTTTCCCCTAGTTTGTGTGGTTGGCCTCCAGGTCATGGAGTAAAATTCCTGATACTAATATTGGCCATTCTTGTTCCCTGAGAATTTTGATTGGGTTTTACTTTCTTTGATTCTGAACCAAATAGTGTGTAGCAAAAACACATTTTAATTTTATTTTTTGGTTTTGGAACTGCATCTGGTGATGCTCAGTGGTCTCTGCACTCAGGAATTACTCCTTGTGGACTTGAGGAACCATATGGGATGCTGGGATCTAACCAGATTCATCATGTAAGGCAAGCATCCACTGTACTATCTCTCTGCTGCAAAATACACAGACACACACACATAGACACACACACACATGTTTATCTGTATATTGGTTTTGGGGCCACACTCAGTGATGCTCAGGGGTTACTACTGACTCTGCTCTCAGGAATTACTCCTGGTGGTGCTCAGGGAACCATATGAGATGCTGGGAATCAGACCCAGGTCAGCCACGTGCAAGGTAAAGTACCCTAACTGCTATATTATCTCTTTGGCCGCCAAATATATAATTTTATATAGTTTCTTTTCTTCCTCCATTCTCTGTTCCCTTTTCACTCCTCCTCCTCCTCCTCTCAATTTTCTGCTTCATATTGTATAATCTCCAAGAACTATAAATTCCTTCCTCGGTATATCTCATTAAAATCCTGACGGAAACCATAATTTGGGAACAGATAACCAGTCTTGGCTCTCAAGGAAAAATTGACTGTTTTCCTTTCTTTGGGTATTTGATTCCCAGACAAATTCACTCTGAAGAATGAAAATAACAAAAAAAAATGTGTTTTTATTCAATGAACTGTTAATTGGGCCAGTTCTGCATGCTGACTACCACGCCAACCCCTCTTCTAGGCCTCTGTGTGAGAATGCTAAAGACAGTCCCTACTTCAAAGGGTGTGTATGTGTGTGTGTTTTGGGTCTCCTGGCCCTGTGATTACGTATCACACCTAGCAACGGGGGTCCTATAGAGTGCCCGGATTGAACCTGGTTCAGCATGCCTTACCCACTTTACTATCTCTCCAGTTCCAAGAAATTCTGTCTAATGAGAAAAAATGGGTAATATCACTAAGTACTGTTAACTGAGATAGAGGAAGGTGAGAAGGCTTCCCAAAAGAGGTACCAGTGAATTCTTCACATCAATAATAAGCAAGTTGAATCTTGGACATGATAGAGCTACACAAACCTTTTTTTAGCTCAGGCATATTTCACTTACCATCTTTATTTCTCAATTATAGAAAAGATTGTTTGCATTTAGTGAGGTTGATTCTCCAAGCATTGTCAAAGCACCTGAGACATCTCATATTATCCAGAGAAGAAGCCTGCCAAAAGGTACCTGTGTTAAGTTCTTTTTTGGTGGTGGTGGGGTGCTCAGGGGAACCATAATGTCATCCCTGATACTACATTTGATTCAAGTGAATACACTTCTTTTCCACCTCAGTTCTAAAAGTGAAACATTTATTTTAGAAAACTTGGAGAAAAACAGAGCTTTAGAAAGAAAACCAAAGTCAGAGAGATAACTCAAAGGGCTGAAACAGATGGATTTGTGGATTTGCCTGAAGGGACCCTGGATTTGATCCCCAGCGCTGCATGGTCCCCTCAGTGCAATTGGGATTGGCCTTGGGCACCAAGCCAGGAGTTGCCCCTAAACACCACCATATATGGCCCAAAATCAGGAAGGAAAAGGGAAATCACCTCTTAACCCTACAACAATTTTAAACCTCATACACTCTTTTTCGTTTTTGTTTTTGAGTCATACCCAGTGGTTTCTAGGGCTTACTCTTGGGTGCTGGGGATTGCATCTGACTGTGCAGTGTTCAAGGGAAGACCCTACCCACAATATTATAGCTCTGGTGGCCCCTAGCCTCATAGACTTGTGAGTGCATGTCTTCATATCATTTTTGATATTTCTAGAAGTGTACGTATATGTATGTATATACACACATTTAGCACTTTTTTTTCCTTTTTATTGCCACATCCGGCAATGCTCAGAGGTTATTCCTGGGAGACCAGATGGATTTCTGGGGATCAAACCTGGGTTGGCCACATGTAAGGCAAGCACCTTATCCACAGTAGTTTCTTCAGCACTGCACTTACCACTTTTCATTGATGTTACATCAATGAGGATTTCTGTTTTTCTTTTTTGTTTTTGTTTTGGGGCCACATCCAGTGGTGCTCAGGGTTTACTTCTGGCTCTTCACTCAGTATTCACTTCAGGGACCATATGGGATGCCAGGGATCAAACCCTGATCAGCAGCATGCAAAGCAAATGCCTTACTCACTGTACTATAGTTCTGGCCCCTTTGAGGAGTTATTTGTATTTAAAAATTATTTATAATATGAATCATGATGAAATAATACTTCATTCTACATTTATTTTTTAACCACGCCTTTGTATGAGATTTATACTATTTCCTAATTTTTGCTTTTTTTTGTTTGTTTGTTTTTTCGGGGTGGTCACACCTGGCGATGCTCAGGGGTTAGTCTTGGCTCTGCACTCACTCAGGAATTACTTCTGGCGGCTCTTGGGGGACCATATGGGATGCCAGGGATTGAACCCGGGTCAGCTGCATGCAAGGCAAAAGCCCTACCTGCTATACTATCACTCCGGTTCCAGTTTTTGCTCTTTGTACATTATTTTTTGTTCTTCCTAATTAGCTGGGAGACCCAAGGACCACTTCCAGTGATATTCAGCCAGGGCCAGGTGGTTCACTGCTTAGGCCCAGCAGTAAAGGGATCTTATGGTGCTGGGGATCAAACTGAAGTTCTTGCTGCATGCACAGCATACCTCCCTGACCCTGAGCTCTCACTCCTTACCTTGTGCAGAAATCTTTATCTACACCTCTGTGTATTACTTCAGATAGATTTTTCAAGGACAGTTTTCATCACAAGTTATAAAAGTGTTAACATCTCTTGAGGCATGTCTTGGCTACATTAATTTTTTTAAAAAAATGTATTGGATGATAGTGAGATACAGAGTCACAGAGATGTTCGTAATTGGGTTTTAGTCATACAATATTCCAACATCAGGCCCTCACCAGTATACATTTCCTATTACCAATATCCCTAGTTTCCCTTCCTCCACCTCCACACCTCCTCTGTGTCAAGCACTTTTCTTCTTTCTCTCTCTACATTAATTTTAATGTCTTGTGTCTTTGATGCAGCTCTTAGAATTCCCCTTGGGGGGGATAAGGATTTTGTAAATTAGGCTGAAGGGTTCTGGTTATTATCATTGAGCAATTGAGCTGTTAAGGAAGGTCCAAGTGTGATCCTACTTTCTGTCCCTTGGCCTGATAGTCTAGAGAAAGGGTTCTAGCTTAAATATTTTCATTCAGTTTTATTGGCCCGTAATTTCTATGTCACTTCAGTGACCCTGATCCACATGGGCCATCAGCCTTTTTGTAAGAATTTGTACTTGACCTATCCCAAGTATCCTGGGGTGGGAAGGGCACTGATAAGCAGTTTTGGGGTAAAGGATGCAGTAGGAGAGGCTTTAGGTAGACTAGGGGAATTAAGCTGTTCACATATTAAGCCTCAGCTAGGATTGTTAATGTAAAGTGCTTTCTTCCCATCTTGGTTTGTTTCATCATTGAGAAATCCTGTATCAAATACGTATGAAAGCCTAGAAATTTGAGGTCCAGAGAGCTGTAAAGTCATTTCTCCTTTTTTCTTCTTTAAGAGCTAGTAGAAGCCATTTCCCAGCATCACATTGACGATCTACCACCACCATCTCAGGAGCTCCTTGATGAAATTGGTAAGGAGTTTTCTTTGTTCTTCTTTTTGGGGGTGGGCTTGGGAGCCCCTCTCAGCAAGGGCCGGAGGATGCAGTGCTCCTTGGGTCCTGGGGCAGCAGCCAGTGATGGCTCAGATTGGGGTTGGTCGCCTCTTAACCCTGTACTATTTCTCCAGTTTCTCTAAGAGGTTTCCAGTACAGATTATCTTCTGTGGTCCTTTGTCTCAGATTGAGCACTAGTACAAAAGGCACTATCAAGGTCTGATTGAATATACAGAGTTCAGGAAAGGAATTTTAAAAAACAAAGGAAGTTTTCTAATAAAATGAGCCTCACATTACATGGAAGTCCGGCTGGGATAATTGGCCTGTGTCTGATGTCATTTTGTTATTTATAGAGTCTTTGGTAATGATTTAGAGGAAATAACAACATCTAAGTGGCTTATTGTGATGAAATTCTTTTATTAAAGGAATTTGTATCTACTTTTTTCATCAAATCAGTCATACCTGGAAGCTTGAATTCTGGCCATTCAAACCGAGACACTCAGTACTTGCAGTTTTCCCCGTTAGCTGGAGGTATTAAAGGTGGATGGATGGATGGTGGTGGATGGGTCTGTTTCCAGAGGGCGCGGGCAGGAAAGCACAAGATGTAATGAGACCAGAACTTTCAATTCTAGGCAGAGACTAAGAAATAGCAGTTCAGGATTTTTATTTTTCCTGCAGTTTTTTTACATTAAAATATTCTTAATAGTAAGGCACCACGATTTACATAGTTATTCATGGTTGAGTTGTATGCCTAAAATTCTAGAATAATCTTACCACCAGTGTCCCCCAACCGGTGTCCCCAGGTTCCCTCCCACCCCAAGCCTGCCTCCTTGACAGCCACATTTTAAGTTTGGTTGATGTCATTTGACTCTCATGCTTACAGTTTGACTCTGTGGTTTAGGTATATACATATACCATACCGCAGCACCGCTGATGTGCCCAAGGTCCCTGACCCTATTATCTCCAAGCAATTCACTTTTAACTGCAGCTGATTGGCTGGTCTTGCCACGCCAAGTTGATGCGGAAAAGAAATGGTGCATGATTTACTTTGTTTATTTCCCCAGGAAAAATCTGATTGCTCTCTGATCATCAGCTATTCCCTTTCCCTCTGAGGGAGCATCTCATTAGACCTCTGATGATCTCGTTCTTGGTTGGAGGCCAGTAGAGAATTTTTTGTTTGTTTTATGTTTTAGGGCTACACCCAGCTATGCTCAGGGCTTACTCCTCCTGACTCTGCATTCAGGAATCACTCATGATGGTGCTCAGGGGACCAAATGGGATGTTGGGGATTGAATCTGGGTCAGTCAGTCCTATTCAATGCAAGATCCTACCCATTCTATTATCACTCTGGCCCTCAGTGGAGAATACTTAACAACAGGGATATCAGGATCTCTGCGATGTCAGATAAGGAAAGAGAGGTGAATGCACTTACCTGGTCTGATTCGTCAGGTGTCATTCTCTTCACAAGCCCAGCCCATGGCCAGTGCCACAGTAAACTTGCTAGAACCATTCAGCTTTCAGAATCTTTCTTGGTTTTACTTTTCTTTTTAATCTTTCTTTGTTTATTTTTTTTTTTAGTTGATTGTGGGGCTCACTCCATTTGCTGCTGGGGATTGAACCTAGAACTCCGGTCTGCGGAGCATGTTCTCTAGCCTTTTAAGCTTTATCACCCTGGCCCCAGAGCTCTTGCTTGCCTCATCTAAGTCCTTCTAGATGCCACAAAGCCTTACTGATTACAGGGTTGTTGGGATACATTTTTGGTTTTTGTTTGGGCCACACCTTGAATCACATAGTACAGGGATCACTCTTGGCAGTGCTTGAGGGACCCCAATCACTCCTGGCGCACGATGCTGTGGGGTGCTGGGGATCTGACCCAGTTAGATCATGTGCACAACCAAGTGCCTTACCAGGTGTACTATTGCCCCAGCACCCTCCCCCCCCCCCCACCCCCCCAGCAAACTTGTAAGGTCTTTAATTGTCCCCACATTGACTTTCTGCCTCTGGGACATCCTGGGAAGTTCTCGCAAATTCCTTATCTTCTGTTGCTTTGCTTGGCTTTCTCCTTCCTCCTTCCTCCCTTCCTTCTTTCCTCTCCCTCCGTCTGTCCCTTCCTTCCTACCCTCTTTTTTCCTTCCTTCCTCCCTCCCTCCCTCCCTTCCTTCCTTCCTTCCTTCCTTCCTTCCTTCCTTCCCTCCCTCCCTCCCTTCCTCCCTCCCTCCCTCCCTTCCTTCCTTCCTTTCCTCTGTTCCTCCCTCCCTTCCTCCCTTCCTTCCTTCTTTCTCTCTCTTTCTCTGGTTTTGGTTTTGGGGCCACCCCCCAAAATACCTAAAACCTAGCACCTGGCCTAACCTGTATTGAACCCAAGTGCCTTACCCACTATACTATCACTTCAACTCTTGAGCCTGCCAGGAGTTATCCCTGAGCACAGAGCCAGGAGTAAGCTCTGAGCACTGTTGGATGTGGCTCAAAAATCCATTTTTAATATAATTTAATTTTTCTTTATTTTTCCCCTTTTTTTGTGTATGTGTGTGGTGGGGAGAGATCACATCCAACTATGCTCAAATGTTACTCCTGGATCTGCACTCAAGAATTACTCCAGGCGGTGCCAGGGCATCATATGGGATGCGGGGGTTCAAAGCCAGGTTGGCCCCATGCAATGCAAATGCCCTACCCATTGTACTATAACCCTGGACCCTAATTATTTTTATTCTTATGGTATAGTAACTCGAACCTAGGATTCCACGCATATGAGACATACACTTTTATCACTGAACCATATTCCTGGCCTAAAACACATTTTTTTATTCCAAATTATGAGAAATAGTCTTAAATTTATTTCTTTTATTTATTTTGCGTTTGTTTCTTTGTTTGGGGCCATACCTTTTGGTATTCAGGGCTTGCTTCTGCCTCTACATTCAGTGATCTCTCTTGGTGGGCTTAGAGAACCATATGAAATGCCAGGAATTAAACCTGGGTCAGCCATGTGCAAGACAAGTTCCCTTTCTGCTGTACTATGACTCCAGATCTGTGGTTTTTTTGTTTGTTTGTTTTGCTTTTGGGGTCACACCTGGCGATGCTCAGGGCTTACTCCTGGCTCTGCACTCAGGAATTACTCCCAGCAGTGCTCAGGGAACCATATGGGATTCCGGGGATCGAACCCTGGTTGGCCGCGTGTAAGGCAAACACCCTCCCCACTGTACTGTCGCTCCAGCCTCAAATCTCAATTCCACCTCTGGCTGCCTCTGCTATTCTTTTATTTTATTTATTTATTTCTTACTTTTTGGGTCACACCTAGCAATGCACAAGGGTGACTCCTGGCTCTTCACTCAGGAATTAACACCTGGCGGTACTTGGGGGACCATATGGGATGCTGGGAATCAAACCTGGGTCAACTGTGTGCAAGGCAAATGCCCTACCCGCTGTGCTATTGCTCCAGCCCCTAGATAATCTCCTTACCCTTTCTTTACCTTCTTGTATTTATCTGTTATATACAGATGAAGACAGTATCATGATCAGTCTCATAGGATTGTTGGGACAATGAATCAATCCTGAACTGTCAACTTGAACCAGTTTCACAGTTAGACAGGGCCTGCCCCATGGATGCCTCAGTGTTACCTGTTGGCATCATCATCATCATCTCTGAAATTGTGTCATACTTGTAAAATTCCTTCTTAAATCTGGGCTGCCGAAGCACAGCTTCTCAAACTTTTATGTTGTCTTGAGAGTCTGGAGGTTTTACTCTAACGCAGATTATTAGGCCCATGACCAGAGTTTCTGATTCAGTAGTCTGATTCAGAAGCCCACCCAAGAATTTGCCTATCTAACAAGTTCTCAGGGGACACTGAAGCTGTTGGTCTGAGGACCACCGTTGGAGTCCCCCTGCCCTAGGTCATAAGGTGCCATGCACAGAAGAAACGGGGGCTTCTTGCTTTTGTTGTGTGACAGAGCACTTGAAGCAGCAGGAGCCCTCATCCCCGGGACGGGAGGAGAAGGCAGCGTGCCAGCCAGGCCTCTCTGCAGCTGGTAAGCGAACCATTGGTCGGTGGAGGAAGGGGTGTCCCTTGTCAGTCACAGCTGCACATCACATCTGACTCTGCCACTTGCTGTAGTCTGGCAGACTGGTTTGTTTGTGCCCAGTGAACATAGGGGCTTCTGCTGCCTTGGTGCTTAGGGGTTGCTCCTGGTGGTGCAGGGTACCATGCGGTGCAGCGGATTGAACCTCAGGATCCCTCATGCAGACTGTGCCCTCACTCTGTCCTTTTGAGTGAGTCACATTGTCATTTCCTTGACTTTGTCTAGCAATTTCTTATCTAGCAATTTCTCTCACTTATGGTTTTGCCCCTCCCTTACCCCCCCCCCCTAGTTTGGGGCCACACTCTGCTGTACTCAGGGAACCTGTGTGGTGCTCTGAGCCTCAGGCATCTTCCTCTGTAAAATGGGGGATGATTGTTCCTACCTTATGCTGTGCATAGCTCCCTGCACAGGGCCTGTTCCATGCTAAGATACTTTGAACAAACGTCAGTCTCCTTCCTTTCAGAGAACTGCTGTCAGCATGAATCAAGACAGCATATGTAAAATGCCTGGCATACATGAAAGGCCACTCCCCTTTCCCACCCAGATTCCTCCCTTTGAAACAAGTGAGAATAGTGTTGTCCCCCAGAGCAAATTGGTGCAATTTGTTTTCACAGTCTCTCGTCTCTTGACTCCCAGTGTTGTGCCCTTTCCTTGCTCTCTCCGTCTGTTTTGCGCTTGGCACAGGAAGGGTGTCCTGTAGCTTTACCTGGCACCAAGGAGTTCCCCAGGCCCCAGAAGCAGCTGCTGCGAAGTGGGCGCCCTGCAGGCTGCCACCTGCACCTGCTGTCCCCAGTCGAGGGGAGCTGATGTGTGTCTTTAAGGACCACTGCAGAGCCCCGAGTCTCTGCACTCCATTTTAGACAGACCTTCTCAGTGTTTTTCCTGTTGTTCACCATAATAAAGTCAAGTTTTTCCAAATGTTTGTAGATCAAAGGCACTTAGAAGCGAGCAGTAATAAAGAAGATAGCAGCATGCTTTGGACTAAAGAATCACAGAATCTAGAAGAAGACACGGAGAGGTAACAGGAAAAGTTGAACTTTCAGAAGGAATTCAAAATCTGTCTGTATTCATTCTCCTAATATTGACAAATAGGAACAGGAAAAGTATACTCTTTTCCCCCTATGTTATCCTAATAAATACTATTTCTCAAAAGTATTTGTTTAAAACGTGTAAATGTGACAAAATATACAGGCATAAAATCTACCATCTCAGCAGTTTTTAAGTGAGCAGTTTCACGTGCTTTTGCAGCCAGTCCCCAGACTTTTTCATCATTTGAAATGGAAACCAACTGTCCATTCCCCTTCACCCCACCCCTAGCAACCACTGTTATGGTTTCTATTTATCCTCCCCCCCCAACCCCCCCAGTTTTTGGGCCACACCTAGCAGTGTTCAGGGTTGACTTCTGGCTCTCTACTCAGGAATCACTCCTGGAGGGGCTCGGGAACCATATTTAGTGTGGGGTATGGAATCTGGGTTGGTCACATGCAAGGCCAATCTTGCTCTGTTCTATTGCTGTTCTATTCTATTCTGTATCTGTTCTGTTGCTCTGGCTTAGCCCTGTTTTGTGTGTGTGCACGTGCGTATGTGCATGCATGCGTGTATGCATGTGTGTTGGGAGGGGGCACACACCTGGCTGTGCTCAGGGCTTATTCCCAGATGTGTTCAGGGGTTGCCCCTGGTGGGGCTGTGGGGTGAGGAGTGGGGTGTTAGGAACCCTTCCACCCTCATCCCACAGCCCTGCCAGTGTCTTACCTGATGCTCTATCTCTTCCTCTGGCCCCTGTTTTCTGTTTCTTTGAGACTGACTATTCTTGATACTTCCTGTAAGTCAATATATGTCTTTTATAAGTTTTATTTCACTTGGCACGTCTTCACAATTTATCTAGGTAGCATGTACTAGAATGTTCTTCCTTTATAAGGCTAAATTCTGTTACATGTGTGAGCATGGGAAGAGGGAGAGAGAGGGAGGTGGAAAGAGAGAATTTTATCTGTTTATCTGTTAGTGGACCCTGAGTTGCTTCCACCGTTTGGCTATTGGAAATAATGTTGCTATGAACATGGGTGTATAAATATCTTTAGAGATACCCAGCTTTTAATTTGTCTGAATATATACCCAGAAGTGGTATAGTGGGATCATATGGCAAATCTATTTTTAATTTTTGAGAAAATACCACGCAGTTCTCCACAGCAGCTGCTCCATTTTATCGTCCCACTAATGTTGCACAAGGGTTCTCCCACAGCCTTGCCCAATGCTTGTTCTTTTTTTTTTTCTTTAATAGTAGCCATCCCAACATTATGAGGTGATACCTCATTATAGTTGTGATTTGCATTAGTAACATTGACCAACTCTTCAATGGCCATTTGAGTATCTTGGAGAAATACCCTTTCAAGTCTTCAAGTCTTTTCACTGTGTGTGTGTGTGTGTGTGTGTGTGTGTGTGTGTGTGTGTGTGTGTGTTTCGGCTCACACTTGACTCAAGATCAGGGGGCCATATGCAGTGCCAGAGTTTTGAACTGAAGCCACAACTGTTTCAACCTTACCTTCTGTATTGTATCTTTGACCCTTTCGCCCATTTTTTTTTCTTACTGAGTTTTTTTAATTGGGGGTGGGGAAGGGGAAACTATCAGCTATGCTCAAGGCTTACTCCTGATTCAGTGCTTAGGAATCATTTATAGTCGTGTGTGGGGACCTAACACAGTGGCAGGAACAGAACCAGAATTGGCTGCATTCAAGGCAAGCACCTAAACCCTGTTCTAGCTCTCTTGCCTTCTTATAGTTTTTTTTTTTAATTTCTTTTCCCATCATTTTTGTGAGGTGAACACAGGTTTTAACTTTTAATAATTTATTTTTACACTGGGATAAATGTATACAGCATTTAACTGGATGGAAGAGAATTTTTAGGTCTTTTCTTCCAAATAAGAGAAAAGGAGATTAGCTATCTGTTACTGTGTTAGTATGAAAACACAAGATTGCTTCTAGAAATTTGATTCCTGATTTGGAGCTCTCTTTCTAATCCTGTGGTGAGATAAACCCCTCATGCTTATCTCCTTTTTCTCCAAACTTCTTTTATTGTGTTTGGACAGTCACTCCGGTCAGGGCAAGGGGGAGGTAGGTGAGACACTCTACTTGAGCACAAAATTGAAGGAGGTACCAAAAATTCCTCAGGAGTTGAGATATGATGTTCTCTTTAATAAAATATTTAAAAATTCAAAATTAGTGTAAAAAACCCAATGAATCAGCAATGAAGTTTTGCTGCTCTCTGAGCTCAGGAATCACTTTTTGGCAGGTTTGGGGGACCTTAAGGTATGTTGAAGATTGAACCTAGGTCACCTGCATGCAAGAGAAGCACATTGCATTCTGTACTATCTCTCTAGTCCCCCTCATACATTTAAATTTGTTTTTGTTTGTTTGTTTGTTTTATTTAGGGGCTACCTGGTGATGCTCAGGGGTAATTCCTAGCTCTGCACTCAAAAATTACTCCTGGCAGTGCTTGGGGGAACATAAGAAATGCCAGGGATTGAACTTGGGTCGACCCTGTGCAAGGCAAGCATCCTTCCTGCTGTACTGTCTCTCCAGACCCCAAACATCGAAATTTTAAAGAAACTCAGAACTGAGCTTCATCCTGACCATGTCTCTAGGGGAGGGACACCCTGACACTGCAAAACATTAAGTGCCCAAACTGACTTTGTCTCCCAGAGCAAGAGACACCCATGTAGTCAGGGCTGGGCTGGCAGAGCCACTGCGGACAGCCAGCATGCCTGGCTCTTTGATCTTGTGACTGCCTGTAGCATGTTGGTCTTTATTTTCAGGCTTGTTGCCTTCTGGTTGCAAAATGGCTGCTGTCCACATGTCAGGCACAGATTGTAGGGCAGAGCAAAGGAATACGGTCATCCCAGCCAGCCTTTTTTTTTGAAAACAAGAACTTCCTAGAGCCCCTTCTCAGCACATGTCCACTTACATGATCTCTGTGCTCCAATGTGATACAGTCCCTCTGAGTTGTAATGGGGTCTGGAAACTGAATCTTTAGCTTTTTAGCAGCTACAGAAAAAGAAAGCAAGGGAGAAAAATCATTGTAAGGTATTATAGCTCCTAGGTAGTAAATCCAGTTTATATCACATTTTCCAAGAGCTAAATATTTTCCTTGAAGATGGAACAAAAAATCACTGTCACTGTCCTCCCATTGTTCATCGATTTGCCCGAACGGGCCCAGTAACGTCTCCATTGTGACATTTGTTTGGCATATCGAATACGTCACGGGTAGCTTGCCAGGCTTTGCCGAGCGGGCAAGATACTCGGTAACTTGCCGGCCTCTCTGAGAGGGGTGGAAGAATCGAACCTGGGTTGGCAGGGTTTGCCGTATGCGCAACAACAACAACAAAAAAATAGTGCCGGAAGGGAAGGTCTGAGAAGTAGAGGAGGGAAGTTGGAAAAGGTTCTTGTGGGGGGCATAAGACAAAAGTAAGTGAAGAGGAAGATAAATATTTATTAGACTTTTGCCTAGTGTGTAATGAATTCCATTCCTTCCATATCCCCAAAACAACCTCAGTAAACATCTATGCCATTGTTCTCAGCAAAAGGAGAGGAGCTCCAGGAGGTGTGGAGTTGCTTTGATTTTTGAAATGTAGAGGACTTTGCTTCTCACCCACAGTTAGCTGCTTTTGGGATTTTCTCCCTTTTTCCAAAGGGTGGTCCATGCCAAACACAGCTCACAGATGGCCACTCAGCTCAGTCCTTGACACCATGCCAGAGTGGAAGATATTTTTTCAGATGGGTGGGACTTTGTAGGCCTCCTGAAAATACAATCTTTACCCTAAATACTTTATTTTTCTGAAAAATAAAGCAAAGTTTTAATTTAAAATTAAAATATCACTTCAGCGATTCATTTTTATTTCATTTTATTTTAAAAACAAACTTGCAGTATTATATAAAGTAACCTCATTTTAAAAAATTTATTCCTCTCATAACAGTAATCTGACACTTTAATTTATAATGTAATCTATAGCACTAGCTAGAAGGTTAAATGTAATAACACAGATTTGTTGGCCATAAATTGTGTTGAGTGTCTAAAGCTTTCTTTTAAAACTAAAAGACTCCACACATTTTATTTTATTATTTTTTTTCATTTTTTATAATTTTATTTATTGAATCACTGTGAGAGCAGTCACAAAGCTTTTGGGTCTAAGTCTCGGTCACACAATGGAACACCCGTACCTTCGCCATTGCCCATTCTCCACCCCCAACAACCCCAATATACCACCATCCCACACCCTCCCCCTACCTGTGGGGCAGATCATTTCCATATTACTCTCTCTCTACTTTGGTCACATTCAATATTTTGACACCAGACCCACCATTCTTATTTGAGATTGTGCCCCAACACTCAGATCTGCTGAAAAAGCAACAGTAGGCAACTTGTTTTCTATTGCTGGTTATGAATAACATGATGTCATGTGGCTGCAGTAGTGGCCGTGTGATTTTGAAATTCCGAAATTTTAACACTTAAATCTGGAGGGATTTCTCCCAAAACCTGTTAAGACTCCAAACATTTTAAATAAAGAAGATATTTTTATTATACACACAACTTTATTTATTTTTTTAAAAAATTTTAAATGTAGGAGTACTGCTATTTATTCAGCCATTGATTACGCTGATTGAATTGGGCATGAACTCCACATTACTTTTTTTTAAATTCAGAATGTTAATTTTATTTAGTTTTATTTTTTATTGAATCATCGTGAGATACAGTTACAAAGCTTTCCTGTTTGAGTTTGAGTCATACAATGATCAAACACCCAACACTCCACCAATACACATCTTCCACCACCAATGTCCCCAGTATCCCCCCCCCCCACACACACACCTCCCCCTGCTGCTATGGCAGACAATCTCCCCTATACTCTCCTTTGTATTGCTTGTTAAGAATAGCATAAGATGTCCTGGAATTCTAAAATTTCAGATAATTAGGGTTTGGAGAAATCTCTGCAGCAAACTACTCAGTTCGGAGATTCTTTTGTGTGTCTCTGGATTATGACCATGAAGGAGCTTAAGTAGCAGCTGGAGGCATTTTGTGAGCATGACTTCCAGAGTCCCATGCGGATGGGAGGGAGATGAGACAGACCAGCCCATCCCCTGTCCCTTGAGGCCTGGAGTTTGCCGTCATTGACCTGCGTACCTGCACTTCTCATTGGGTTCTGGAAGTTGGGTTCTGGAAGTTAGCAGCCACTGAGGTTTTTAGAGGGCAGTTGAAGGGATGACGCCTACCCCTGTCTGAGGCACGCCGGTGAAGTTGGCCTGGCTTAAAGTCCAGAGTCATCTCTGCATCGAGCTGCTCGGTTCAGAGATGCTTTTGTGTGTCTCTGGATCTTCTGTGTTTCCATCTTTTCCAGGGAAATAAACTATTGGCATATGCCCTGCAGGGTGCGCCATGCTATTGGTCCTAACTGCAGCTTTTGATCTCTTTTGAGATTTATGGGTCTCTGAAATAAGGCCAGTAAATGAGCTTGTATAGCTGAGCCAGAGGTGGTTTGTGGATGTGGCTCCCACATATCTAACTTTTTTTTGGCTTTTTTTTGCGGGGGGGTCACACCTGGTGATGCACAGGGGTTACTCCTGGCTCATGCACTCAGGAATTACTCCTGGCGGTGCTCAGGCAACCATATGGGATGCTGGGAATCGAACCCGGTCGGCCGCATGCAAGGCAAATGCCCTACCCGCTGTGCTATTGCTCCAGCCCCCCACATACCTAACTTTTGACTGTTTAATTTCTTGGTAAATTTGGCCCCAAGTTGTTGGGGTATGGCCAAAGGCAGAGTGGCAATTTGAGTATAAGGAAGCCTGAAGGCACCATCAGGCTACTGATGCACTCGCCCTGCAGGTACAGGTTGACTTGCTGGCGGAACCATACCCTTACAACTTTATTTTTTATTTTGTTTATTTTTTAATTGTAGGAGTACTGCTATTTATTCAGCCACTGGTTAAGGTGACTGAAGCTGACATGATTGCCACATTCCTTTTTTTTAAAATTTTTAATCGAATACCCATGAGATAGACCATTACAAAGCTGTTCATGATTGGGTTTCAGTCATACAATGATCCATCACCCATCCCTCCATCAGTGTACATTTCCCACCACCTGTGTCCCCCATTTCCCACCATCCCCCCAACACCTCACCCCCAATCCCCAGCCTCCCTCTGTGGCAGGCACTTTTCTTCTTTCTATTGTTTTCCTTTTGTGCATTATGGTTTGCAATACAGGTACTAAGAGGTCATTGTGTTTGTTCAGGCATTCAGTATTTTTATTGGATGGTAAAGCATTACTGCGTGGCAGCTTTGGGGTTCGGACATGACTGCTCAGGCTTCCGTAAGTACAGGGAGGTAGGGAGAGGTAGCCCCTCCTGACCCTGAGAAAGCCTGGAGATTTCAGTCATAAAACCTGCATATCCAAATTTTCAAGAGGTTAGTATCTAGGTGAGATCTGTCCTGAGACAGTAAAGTCTGGCCAGGGGCATTGTGGCGATTTTGGACTGTAGGAGCAAGTGGCTGCTGGGGGCTCTGCTTGGGCAGTCACCAGGCCAACCTGCACCCCCTCCGATATACCCTGATCTGCTCAGCCTTGTGCAAGTCCAAGATTTATTTATTTTGCTTTTGGGGTCACAACCAGTGAGATGCTCAGAGGTTATTCCTGGCTCTGCACTCAGGAATTACTCCTGGCGGTGCTCAGGGCACCATATGGGATTGCTGGGAATCGAACCTGGGTCGGCCACATGCAAGGCAAACGTTCTTCCCACTGTGCTGTCACTCCAGCCTCACAGGTCTGAGATTAACTGTGGCTTTTGATTTCTTTAGAGATTTATTTATGGGCTGAAGCAAGGCCGATAAGTAAGCTTGTATAACTGAGCTGGAGGTGGTTTGTGGGCATGACTCACGCGTACCTAACTTTTGGTCATTTAATTTCTCGAAAAGTTTGGTCCCAAGTTGTTGCGGACTGACCACAGGCACAGAAGCAATTTTAGGGTATCAGGAAGCCTGAAGACACCATCAGGTTGCTGATGCACTTGCCCCGCAATTACAGGTTGATCTGCTTGTGGAGCCATACCTCCTATCTTAAGTTCTTGGAGGCAATTTCTTTTTCTTCTAAGGACCTCTCCTGGTAGTGCTCAGCCCGAGGGGCCCATCTGGGCCACGCCCGGTAAAGCTTTGGGGACCAGGAGTCAAAGTGGGCCCCACGTGCTGCTCTTGTGCACTTGCCCTATCTCCCCAATGCAGAGGCAGGTTTTTTTTTTTTTTTGCTTTTTGGGTCACACCCAGTGATGTTTAGGGGTTACTCCTGGCTCATGCACTCAGGAATTGCTCCTGGCGGTGCTCAGGGGACCATATGGGGTGCTGGGAATCGAACCTGTGTCGGCCATGTTGGCTGCGTGCAAGGCAAATGCCCTACCCGCTGTGCTATCGCTCCAGCCCCAGAGGCAGGTTTTTTTTTTTTTAAATATTTTATTAGCGAATCACCATGTGGTACAGTTACAGACTTCCAGACTTTCATGCTTGTGTTTCAGTCATATGATGATTGAGTACCCATCCCTCCACCAGTGCCCATTTTCCACCATCAGTGGTCACAACATCCCTCTCACCACCCCTACTCTGTCCTCTCCACCCCACCTGGCCTCTGTGGCAGGGCATTCCCTTTTGCTCTCTCTCTCTCTGTCTCTCTCTCCTTTTGGGTGTTGTGGTTAGGCAGTTCTTAAGCTTTGAAAACATTTAGGAATGAGTGTGCAGATCTCATGTAGGTGGGAATTGATGGGGTGCCCGCATTGGACTTCAGGAAAGAGTGAGCTCACCAGTGGCAAGGCCTTCTGTCAAGGTTATAAAGGGAAATCTGGAGGCTCTTTGAAATTGTATCTGAGTGACCTCTGCAATTCTCTCCAGCCTCTTGACCTAAGGGACCAGTGTCAGGGATCTCTCATTTTTTTATTGTGTGTAGTGAAAGCCCAAGTTCAAATGTTCTTTTCCACACTGGAATGGGAGTGACCATGTCTCAATTCTCTTCACATGGCAGGGCTCACTCCACTCTCGATGAAGACCTGGAAAGATGGCTGCAGCCCCGTGAGGACAGCGGGGTGCTGGAAGATCTGCTCAAGGGCTCTGCAAGAATAAACAGGCATTTTCTTCTTTTCCGTGGCACAGGGTGGGGGGAAGGATAGATTTGGTATTGTTTTAAGTGCCGCAGTTCCTAGGATAATAAATGTATGCAGATGGAGTTGCATCACTCAGAGACACTAGCCCTGACTCCTGTCTGCCCCCTCAGTTGCCCTTCTTCTCTCACTTACCACAGAGTTTAGGATACTGATGGCAGATTGATACTTGTATGGAGAAAGACTCTAAGACTGTCATCTTCAACATTTCACTAGTCATTTGAATTAAATCAAGGGGCCAGACTTCCCACATTTTTAGATAATGTAAATGTAAGCATGATTATTAATGTGATGAATAATCAACTTCCTTCCAAATGGTCCTGATGGGGAAAAGGTCAGATTTCACTGAAAGATGGGCACATTTCATGCTTTTGATGTTGGGGACCAAACCCAGTGCCTCACACATGCAGAACTAAATGCTCTATTGCTAAATTGTATTCTTTGCTCCAAAGAAGTAGAGGAGTTAGAAGATTTAGAAGCCTGTGATTCCAAAGCTTTCGAAGCCTGAGAAGAAGGAGTGTGGGGCTGGAGTGATAGTACAGTGGGTGGGTACTTGCCTTGCACACAGCCAACCTGGGCTCAATCCCTGGCACATTGTCGGGTTCCCCAAACACTGCCAGGAGTGAGTCTCGAGTATAGAACCAGCATTAAATGTGTAAAAAAAGATGGTACAGAGGCTGGAGCGATAGCACAGCGGGTAGGGCATTTGCCTTGCACACAGTCAATATGGCCGACACAGGTTCGATTCCCAGCATCCCATATGGTTCCCCGAGCACCACCAGGAGCAATTCCTGAGTGCATGAGCCAGGAGTAACCCCTGAGCATCACCGGGTGTGACCCAAAAAGCAAAAAAAAAAAATGATGGTACACCTAGATCCAAAAGTAATGGTAATGGAGTGATAGTTCAGCGGGTAAGGTATGTGGCTTACACATAACCAGGTTGAACTCTGCACCACATATGGTCTCCCGATCCCTACCAGGAGTGACCCGGGAGTATACATAGCCTCAACCTTGAGTATAGCTTGGTGTTGCCTGAAAACAGCAGCAGCAACCAAAAATAAATAAAGTACAGACAATGAGAGCTCTCACTTACTGAACAATGTTTTTTATTGGAAATGTTTACTCAGTAAAATTTCATTGAAGTTCGGAAGCATGATTTGTCTATGCCCAACACTTAGCGTGCCTTTCGGACATGGTCAGAATTCAGGAAATTCTTTTTGACCAAGGCATGGACCAACTCTGAGGCCTCAGTTTAATGCAGTTGCTGAAAATGGTCAATGCAGCATTAGTGCTTAAAAGAAGTCTTCTATTCAGACCAAGAAAATTCTCATGGGGGCTGGGGAGACAGTACAGTAGATAGAGTGCTTGCCTTGCATGTGCTCAGACTTTTGAACTATCACCCTAGTTGTTTATTATTTTGTTTGTTTTTATTTTGTTTTGGGGCCACACCTGCTGATTTTCAGGGCTGACTCCTGTCTTTGCTCACAGGGATCACTCCTGGTGACCGTAGGGGGTGCTGGGGATTGAACCCCAGTTGGCCACTTGCAAGGGAAATGCCCTCCCACTGTACTGTCCCTCAGACCCCTATACCTGACCTTTTATTTTATTAGTTTTGGTTTTCCCAAACGGTATTCAGAAGGTCTGATGATTATCAGCCCAGCTCTGTGGGCCCAGTGTTGATGAAAGCCACCAGCACCACACCCTGCATGCCAGGGGAAGCTGTGCCGTACTGTGAAGAGCTGGGGTCCGAATGTGTGCCAGGCATGCACTCTGGCTCCTTGAACTATCTCCCTGGCCCCACGGTGTCACATTTTAAAAGGGACATTCACAAGCAGAAGAGGTTGGCCATGAGCAGTCATAGGCCTGGAAACAGGAGAACAGCTGAGGAGGGAGGTTTAGCCTGGAAAGGGCAGATGGAGTGGAGAATCTGCCCTCAAATACCTGGAATACTGGAAAGTGAAAAGGGTCAGTTTACTCTCTTCTACCCCAGTGGTTAGAACTGGAGATTGGAAACTGCAGAGTAAGGGATTGGTATTCAGGAAAGAATAAGTTTTCTAATCGCCAGGACTGTTTGGTAGGAAGCCAGATGCCTTTTCACTTACTTTACACTTTACAGCTCCTTCCCCTCCGTAGAGGCTGGCTGATACTGATCTGGGGCATTTGCATGGAGGTGGAAGATGATCTCAAGGCCGTCCCAGACTCTAGAACCTATCATTTTGTTAGTGCTGCAATTGGGAATGGGGGGTGGACGGGTGGGGACACAACACTGACACACCTTTCTCACCCTAGCTGCTTTTATTTTCTTTTTCATAGTTTGTTTGTTTGAGTATCCACTGAATTGGAAACAGGAAAACCCTTCAAATAGTGTTTGGAATTTTGAGCACAGCTTGAGTTGAGCACTGCATCACCATGACTGGAGGTGCTGGTGGGGAGGACACCTCTGCCCTTCAGGTGCTTGGAGTAGTCAGAGGAGGATTTCGGCCTGGAGATGGCCAGGCTGGTAATCTTAGATCTTAGTGTTCTACTTCACAGGGAGTTTCAGAAAGTGATAAAGTGATAAAATGGTGTCTGTGAAAAGGGCACCAATTACAGCGTCACTGAAATGTTGTTTTCCTTTGACTAGATAGTGGCCAGTGGTTGAGACACACTGCCTGGGCCAGAGAGCAGCTCTGAGAACTACTAGACATATAATTTAACGTCTCTGTGCCTTAATTTCCTCTTTTATCTTCTATCAGTGGGGATACTCTTTAATTTTTTTAGGTGTGTTGAGAATTGAATTATTAATAACAATAGTAGTTACTAAATTTTCTCTGGAGGGTATTTCTGTTCCACTGACCATTATACATGTAGTTTTTATTGAGGCCTAAAATCATTGTCATTGAAGGGAGCCACATACCAAGAATCACGAAGTTGATGAAAAGAAGAAGAAAGGGGAAGCAAGCATCACATCAGAGAAAAGTTCAGAGAGCATTTTAGGAACACCTGAAAAAGGTAAAAATTTATATAGTTAAAATGTAGCCGGTAGATCTGGACTTTGATAAGCATCAGAGTGATTTAGAAATGATTCCCAGATTATATACATAAACTTCTCATAGTTTCCTTTGTAGTTCAGCCCAGGTTTTCTTTTCATTTACAATCATATCTTCAAAACATTAACAACATCCAGCTCTCAAGCATGCCTTTGGCCAGTCTCATTATCCTTATCTGGCACATTATCTGGAAGGATGTTTTGCTACTAATTGTCTGCTGTCTTCAAGAGTTCTAAATTTAACTCACAGAGGCTGCACAATCCAGTAAGACATAAATCGTATGATTTGAATGACGTTTACAAGTATTATTGATGCTAACCTTAATTTCAAAACACTTTAAAACTTCTGTGTCACGGTAAATGATATGATACCCTTCTATATTTATGTTCCTCCTACTCAGGAAGTTAGAGACATTAACTGGAGATCATCTGATAGTGCTTTCATCCCTTTCCCAGTCCATTCTCATTCTCCTCCTGTCTGTGTCCTTCTCTGTCCCCTGGGGGAGGGGAGTGACCCTTGTGAACTATCTCCTGGGCCTCCTGGACAGCTGGTTTCCTGTTGGCCAAAGTGAGGCCCCCTGTAGATCAGAGGGGAGGGGAGCACTGAGGGTGTTACTTCCTTTGCCCGCTGACTTTCAGCTCCTCCTTGTTGCACATAAATGGTATCTCTTCACAAACAAAGCTTCATTTTTGTTTATTTGTTCATTTATTTGGGGGCCACACCTGTCTGTGCTTGAGGACTCTGCACTCAGGGATGGGTTCTGGAGGGCTCAGGGTACCGGGGACCAAACCCAGTGAAAGGCAAACGCCTTATGCAGTCCTGCTTCCCCTTGTTTTTGTAATTACGAATTTTCTACAAAGTTGAGAAGAGTGAGTTGTGGGTTCCAATTCAAATCTGTGGTCAAAGAAAATTTTATCTTAAATGTTATTTTAAACTGGGGAAATAGCTCAAAGGGCTGGAGTGCAAGAAGAGTCTTGGATTTGATTCTGGCACCACATGGTCCCCAAGCACCTGAAGGAATAGCCTCTGAGCACTCCAGATCAGAACCGTTCTTCCCCCCCAGAACTACCCACCTGGTTACCTGAGTATGAGGGATGAGTGGAGAGGCGTTTTTAGAGAAGAGGGCACTGGAACTTTGGGATGGGATGATGGGTATTATATACCTATAGATGTATAAAACTCAGCTCCATAATATTGTCAACTGATGGTAATAAAACTATTTTCTGACTATTCTAAACACATAACTTTATTAAAGCAATGGGGAAAAAAACTAGCAAGTTGAATGACCTTTCTGCATTGAGGATTTACCAGTTTTCAGCTCTAGTCTTTATAACTTTTTTTTTTATGTAGGAGTACTGCTATTTATTCAGCCACTGATTAGCTGATTGAATTGAGCATGAACTCTACCTTACTTTTCTTTTTTTCATAATTTTAATTTTTTCCTTATATTTATTTATTGAATCACTGTGGGAAAAGTTACAAAGCTTTCAGGTTTAAGTCTCGGTCATACATTGATCAAACACCTTTCCCTTCACCAGTACTCATTTTCCACCACCAAGAACCCCAATATACCCCCCTCCCACCCCTCCCAATGCCTGTGAGGCAGATAATTACTACTTATTTCTTCTCTACATTGATTACATTCATTATTTTGACAAAAGATGCACCATTATTGTTTAGAATTCCCCCCCCAACAATCAGAATTGCTGAAAAGGCATTGTGAAATACTTTGTTTTCTATAGCTGGTATGAGAATCATATAATGTCATATAATGATTTTGGATTTCTGCAAAGAGCCAGATCATTACAAGATTGGTTTCGGTGTGTCTGGTGTTGTGGCTGTGCTGGAGAGCCACTCGTGGGGGGCAACTCTTGACCCCGGTAGGGTGTGAAGGATGAACTGGTACCGCCCCCCCCTTCCCATGAGACTGTAGTTGCCCTGTCACCGCCGGCTCATACTTGGCTTTCCTTTAAGTTCTGCGGTGGTGGCCACCTTGCTACCAGAGGCGGGGGGGGGGGGGGGGCGGAAGGGGGAAGGGAGCAACACCCTTTCCCTCCCGGGGAAGCATGGTGCTGTAGTTTAACAGATGGTCCATTCACCTTTCTGCCACAAGTTGCTGGGCTCTGGATTAAGTCCTTTTGCCTCTGGAGCCATGGCTGTGCTAGAGAGCCGCTCATGGGGGGCAACTTGTGACCTTGGTAGGGCGTGAAGGATGAGCCAGTACCGCCCCCCTTCCCATGAGACTGCAGTTGCCCCGTCACCGCCAGCTCATACCTGGCTTCCCAATAAGCTCTGAGGCAGCGACCACCTTGCTTGCTGCCGGGGGGGAGGGGAGAGGCAGAAGGGAGCAACACCCTTTCTTTCCCGGGGAGGCATGGTGCCGTAGTTTAATGCATGGCCCATTCACCTTTCTGCCGCAAGTTGCTGGGCTCTGGATTAAGTCCTTTTGCCTCTGGAGCCATGGCCATGCTGGAGAGCCGCTTGTGGGGAGCAACTCGTGACCTCGGTAGGGCATGAAGGACAAGCCGTACTGTCCCCCTTCCCATGAGACTGCAGTTGCCCCATCACCTCTGGCTCACAACTGGCTTTCCAGTAGTTCTGAGACAGTGGCCACCTTGTATGCGGTCCAGATGCATTTCTACCAAAAGCCACTGGGTTTTGAGATTTGTTTCTGAGTCCCTGGAATCATGGCCATTAATCTGCTTGATCAGGAGCCAGAGAGGCCATTTGTAGGTGGTGACTCAGGGTCTCGTTGGGATGGGGAGGAAAGGGCCAGTTCCACCCCCATCTGGTGAGGCCCCACATGTCTCGTCACTCTAGGCCCAAACCTGACTGTCCTGTGGCCTCTGGAGGATGGCGGTCACCGGGCCACCAGGGGGAACAGGCCAAGGCACAAAACCTATTCCCACCTGGATTGGCCCAGCGCCAGTAACCTACTGCAGGGACAGGACGCATTTCTGCCAAAATCCTTTGGGTTTCGAGATTTGTTTCTGAGTCTCTGGGATCATGGCCGTTAAGCAGTTTGATCAGGAACCAGAGGCCATGCCTCCAATTATACAGCTGAGCTGGAGGTGGTTTGTGAGTATGTCTCCCACATACCTAACTTTTGGCCGTTTACTTTCTTGGTAAACTTTGCCCCCAAGTTTTTGGGGTCTGGCCAAAGGCACAGCAGCAGTTTGGGGGTATCTGAAAGTCTGATGCTGATGCACTCACTTCACAGGTACAGCAGTTTGGGGGTATCTGAAAGTCAGGCTGCTGATGCACTCACCTCACAGGTACAGATTGACCTGCTGGCGGCACCATACCCCCTCCATTCTTCTTTTTCAAAAGGTTAGCCAGGACATTCTGCGGAGCTCTCTTTGAGGAGCTTTAGTTTATAGTCTTTGGGTCTTGGCCGATGATGAGATTACATGGTGCCCGGGGCAGTTTGTGGGTGTGACTGCTAACCTTCTGGAAAACGCCCTACCCACTGTGCTATTGCTCCAGCCCCTGCAAGTTCTTAGTAAACTTGAAATAGCAATTTCTTGGTAAACTTGGCCCCAAGTTATTGGGGTCTGGCCAAAGGCACAGCAGCAATTTTGGGGTATCTGGAAGCCTGAAGTCACCATCAGGCTGCTGATGCACTCACCCCACAGGTACAGGTTGACCTGCTGGCAGCACCATACCCCCTCAATAATTTCTTTTATATTGCTTCCTCTAACAAAATGGTAAGTGGAATTATTGAAAAAATATCTCAGTAAAAGAAAATTTGTGAAATTGTTACATCTCTCAATGGTGTTATTAAAGTCATTGTCTGAAGATTGATTTACTGAGATATTTGTTGGTAGTTGAGCCTTCTGTGTTATTATTTATGCTTATTGAGCGTAGTGGCCTTTTAAAAAAATTTTATTGAATCGTCGTGAGATACACAGTTACAAAGTTATTCATGATTAGGTTTCAGTCATGAAATATGCCAACACCCATCCCTTCACCAGTATATATTTCCCACCACCAATGTCCACACAGTTTTCCTCCCTGCCTGCCTTTATGGCAGGTACTTTTCCTCTCTCTCTCTCTCTCTCTCTCTCTCTCTCTCTCTCTCTCTCTCTCTCTCTGTTTCCTTTTGAGCATTGTGGTTTGCAATAAAGGTCCTGAAAAGTTATTATGTACATCATCCCTTTCACCTACTTTCAGCTGTCATTTCTTGTCCAGAGTGATCATTCCAACTATTATTATCATAGTGTTCCCTTCTCTATCCTAACTGTGCACTGACTGCCACACACCTGTGGCAAACTTCCAACCACTGACCAGTTCTCCTGGGCTTAGTGGGTGTCGATGCTACTTTCTCATCGAATTTGCTGTACTCAGACTGGGCTGTCAGTATTTGTCAGTATTGTGGAATTTGGACGTTTTGCACGCTCCCAGAGCTGCAGGAGATTTAGATCTGGAACGATTCACTCCCACTCCCCTCCATTGGGGGCCCCAGTAATTTAAGCCCAAAGACTGGTGCATCTGTGAATTTGATTAGTTTGGCATCTCTTCCTAGATTAGTCGGGACTGTGAAGCTGAGCCATGTACATGGGTGGAGGTTGTGGGATACGTTTGTCTGCTGGGGCTTCCAGCAGTTTGGGGGTAGGGAGCCGTAGCTATCCACCCCCACTCCAAGAAGGTGCCAGAGTGTTCAGCCTGAAATCAGTGTACCTATGAATTTCCTTGCTTGGTATCTCTTCCAAGATTAGTCATAAAGCTGTAAAGTTGGGCCTTTTACATGGGGAAGGCTGTGGGATGTCTATATTGATTTTTGTAAGCTGCCTCCTTAATGTATATATTGTTTCCAATAGTTATGAGTGGAAAAATGCAACTTATACAAGACTGTCTATCCTTCCCAGTTCCAGCGTTCTGTAACTGTTTTGCCCTACTTTTGTCCCCAGTGCCCTCACAGACAATGATTCTCACTGTTTAGTCATTTGATGCTTTTGCCATGCTTTCTTTGCTCTTTTATGATAACTATACCTCTGTAAGTAGTTGCTTCATTAAAAGGTGCATTTCTTATCTCCAGGACTCTGACTGGCAGAGGGCCCAGAGAGTGTGAGTGCTGAATAATAATGTTAAGTTCACTGGGAGTACAATGCAATGAATTAGCATTATGAATTAGCATCATTTGGTGTGTTACTGTGACTGCAGAGAGCTGCAGAATGTTAGAAGAAGAAACCTCCTGACTATTTTTAGAAAAATGTTATCTCTGTATAAGAAAACAACTGGTAAAAGTAAAACAATCTATACTAAGAGGGAGGGAGGGGGAGGGGAGCGAGCAAGGGGGAGAGAGAGAGAGAGAGAGAGAGAGAGAGAGAGATCGTTAATGCAACTTCTGAACCCTGCACTCTCTGACCTAGAAAGTAATCAGTTTTTATTTTTCTCTCCCTCCTGTATTTCATGAAGATGAACTAAAATCCTGCTTTTGGAAGCGACTGGGTTGGTCTGAACCATCCAGGTAATGAAATCTCAGGTGTTTATGGCTTACAGTTCCAGTCAACATGTGCAAACTCAAAACATATTCCAGCATTTCAATAAATCAAAGACAGAGACTTGAATTCAAAGATGCTCAGTATTGTAGATGTTTTAGTTTCGATTTTAGTTAATAAAGTTATAAGATGAAAGTAATGTCTGCATTGGTTAAGTAATTGATAGCGTCAGCACAGTCAGTTCTAACAGAGGGAAAACAGAAGATGCTGTCTCATTGTGCTGTGGTTTTGCATCTTCATGATATACTAGTTGATCCTACTCTGCGTTGATTATAAAGATCAAAATTTCTTTCCTTAGAATTCAGCTGAATAGAAAGAGGCTATTTTTTGTGTCTTTAAACATATACATCAGGGGCTGGAGTGATAGCACAGCAGGTAGGGTGTTTGCCTTGCATGTGGCCCACCTGGGTTTGATTCCCAGCATCCCACATGGTCCCCTGAGCACCTCCAGGAGTAATTCCTGAGTGCAGAGCCAAGAGTTAACCCCTGTGCATCGCCGGGTGTGATCCAAAAAGAAAAAAAAGACATATGCATCAAGTTGATACTCACCTTTTTTCTTTAAAAAACACACAGGATAATCGTACTGGATCAGAGCGACTTGTCAGACTGAACAACAACGGATCAGAGTTGGCTCCTGGCTCTATCTGAATGTCCCAGTAGGGAGCCCTCTTCTCCCCTCATCTGTCAGTTACTGACAGAGTCCAGCGTGAGCCTCAAGTGGTAATTCAGACTGTTCAGCTGCCACAGTAGATGGAAGGACTCGACCCTGTCTGTCTGTCAGACAGTTCTCTGAAAAAAACAAAAAGAAGTTTTGATTGTAAAGAAATTTTCATTGTTGCCAGATGGCTTTTGGTTTTGTCGATAAGAATTTTTGAAAACTTAACTTTTGTAATATAATAAAATTTTTACTGTCAGTACCAATTAGATTTTAGTAGTATTAGATCTGTTTCTGTGTTGGAGTTATTGGGAATTTGGAGAGAGGAATGACCACTGAAAGTTGCTTCAATTTCTGTTTCAGATTTGTCAAATAAGCACCACTCAGTACCAGTTCATGTTTTTGGGGGGCCACCCAGGCAGTGCTCAGGGTTCACTCCTGACTCTGCTCAGGGGGATCACTCTTGATTCTATGCTCAGGGGGATCATTCTTGATTCTGTGCTCAGGGATCAGTCTTGACAGGGCTTGGGGGACCATATGGGATACTGAGGGTTGAACATGGGTTGAGCTCATACAAGGTAAAGTGCCATACCTGCTATACTAGCCCCTCCCCCACCTCTATGGTTGTCCGTATTTTATAATGGAAATACTGCTCTCTTGAACAACCAGAGTTCCCTATTTCCATCCCACCTAGAATGGACTTACATGTAAAAGTACAGTTCAAATTAAGCCAAGATATCTTAGCTCTTTAAAGTAAAAAGCAGCATTTCTATATTTTGAATTTTATACCTTACTCCATTTCCTGGGCTGGAGCGATAGCACAGCAATAGGATGTTTGCCTTGCGTGCAGCCAGCTTGGTCGAGCCGGGTTCAATTCCTCTGCCCTTCTTGGAGAGGCCGGCAAGCTACTGATAGTATCTCACCCGCACGGCAAAGCTTAAGCGTGGCAAGCTCCCTGTGACGTATTCGATATGCCAAACACAGTAACAGCAAGTATCACAATGGAGACGTTACTGGGCCCGCTCGAGCAAATTGATGAATAACAGGAGGACCGTGACCCTGACTCCATTTCCCAATCTTTTTCCAACTACAGAATTCTTCTGCCCCTTTTTCCTCCTGTGACCTCCCCTTTCCTATCAGTTCATCCTCTAGTTTGGTACCATGGACCCCCTTTTTTATTGAATCACTGTGAGATACAGTTCCAAGCTTTCATGTTTGAGTTGTATGATTATACAATGATTAAACACCCATTCCTCCACTAGTGCACTTTTTCCACCACCAATGTCCCCAGTATATCCTCCCGCCATCCATGGCAGACAATTTCCCCCATACTCTCTCTCTACTTTTGGGCATTATGGTTTGCAGTACAGATACTGAGAGGTTATCATGTTTGGTCCTTGATCTAATTTCAGCACACATCTCCCATCCCGATTGATCCCTTCAGTCATCATTGTTTTAGTGATCCCTTCTATATTCCAACTGCCTTCTCCCCTAGCTCATGAAGCAGGCTTCCAACTATGGAGCAATCTTCCTGGCCCTTGTGTCTACTGTCCTTGTGTGTCAGTCTCATGTTATTTTATATTCCACAAATTAGTGCAGTCCTTCTATGTCTGTCCTTCTCTTTCTGACTCATTTTACTTAGCATGATACTCTCCATGTCTATCCACTTACAAGCAAATTTCACCGACTTCATCTCTCCTAACAGCTGCATAGTATTTTATTGTGTAGATGTACCAAAGCTTCTTTAAGCAGTCGTCTGTTCTCGGGCACTCGGGTTGTTTCCAGGTTCTGGAATAATAACCGGAGTTATTATGAACATTGCTGCAATGAACATATAGGTGCAGATGTCATTTCTACTGTGATTTTTTGTACCCTCGAGATATATTCCCAGAAGTGGTATTGCAGGATCATATGAAAGCTCAGTTTCTAGTTCTTGAAGGACTGTCCATATTGTTTTCCAGAAAGGCTGCACCAGTAGACATTCCCACCAACAGTGAAAGAATGCCCCTTTTCCCCCACATCCATGCCCACACTGGTTCCATGGCCCCCATTTAACATGATTTTCACCTGTGGCCCCCTTGGAACATCCTGGGGGCACACCAAGGGCCATATGGCCTCTAATTGAGAAATACTCCTTACACCATTAATCTTCTAGAGAAAAGACATTCTGGTAGTACTAAGTACTATCACTCTGGCCCCAGTCTGATTCATTCTAGTCTATAAGTTCCTGAGGTCACCAATGACTCATAAATTTTATATTTTAAAATCCTTAGGAAAGTCTGTCATTTTGCCTCATAGCCTGATCTCCCAGAGCCTTGAATCTCTGATGTTAAAATCCTGTTGTTTTTTTTTTATCTCTAGTATTCCATCTCTGCCTTCTTTGGGTGCTGTCTTTTTGTATTCCAAGCTTTCCTTCTAAAAAAAGATTTTGTGCATTTAAGTAAAATACACAAAAGAGGGGCCAGAGTGATAGTACAATGGGTAAGGCTCTAGCTTTGAACATGGCTGACCTGGATTCAATCCTAGTATCCCATGTGATTCCCTGTATACTGCCAAGAGTATTTCCCACCCTTCTCCCTCACTTTATTTAAAGACCATGGTTTATGAAGTTGTTCATGATGATTTGTCAATATTCCAACGCCAGTCCCGCCACCTCTGTCACCTTCCCTCCACCTTTGTCTCCATTTTCCCATCCAGCCGCTCATCCTGCCCCCATAGTGGTCCCAAAATAATTTATTTCATATTGCTTGTTACCCACTAAATGCTAACGGGATGAAAAAATATTACTGGGCCCGCTTGAGCAAATCGAGGATCAACGGGAGGGCCTTTACTTTACTTTACTTACTTAGTCAATATCAGTTGGATTCTGCATGACATCCCATCTAATCTGGTATGCTACTTCTGGGAAGTCAGTGCTGTACAGTTTAGAGATGTCCCCATGCTCCAGAAGATCCAGAATATTAAACTGGCAATCTGGCCAGAGGCATGGCAACAGCTTAGGGATGTGGGAGCTGCTGCTAGGGCTTTGTTTGGGTGTCCAAGATTGCCCAAAAGGTCTCAGCTGGGAACAAGTGTCCAAGAAATTTTTGTGGCTAGTTGATTTCTTTTGAAATTTATGAGTCTCTGGAATAAGGCCAGTAGATGCGCTTATTACATGGAGATGGTGGCAGTGGGATGTGGGCATGGCTGCTACGTCTTCCTGGAATATGGGGAAGTGGGGGAAAGTCACCCACCCAGACTCCAAGAAGGTCTGGAGTTTTCAGTCACAAAGACCCGTGTACCTGAACTTTTTGGTAGATTAGGTTGATTCTCTGTGAAGCTCAATCCTGAGGTGGTGGGGGTCTGACCAGAGGCATGGTGGCAGTTTGGGGTGTGGGAGTGGTTACCAGAGTGTTGTCTAGGCAGAAACTGGCCTGCACCCTTCCTGAGATCATCCTAGAAGTTTCAGCTGGGAACAGTGAGAAATTTTTGTGGCTAGTTGATCTCTTTCAAGATTTCTTTATGAATCTCCATAACAAGACTGGTGGATGAGCTTACATGACTGCGGCTGTGGACGTGATCCAGGAGTAATTGTTAGGTGCAGAGTTAGGAGTAATCCCCGAACACTGCCAAGTGTGGCCCAAAAACAAAACAAAGAAAAAAAAACAGAAGAAAAGATAGGTACTCAAAAAGAGAAGACTTTACATACTGTTCGGTAAGAGGTTAAAGATATAAAAAAATTATGTTCCTTGACAGCAAATCTAATTCTTTTTAAAAGGCTATTTGAATAGATACTTCTTTAAAGAGGACATAGAGAGGGCCAGTAGTCAGAAAAAGATGTTCATCTTCACTGATTACCAGGGAAATGAAATCAGAATCATAGTGAGAAAGGCAGGAGTGATAGTACACTGGGTAGGGTACTTGCCTTGCACGCGGTCAACCTAGGTTTGATCCCTGACAATCCCATAAAATCCACCAAGTGTGTCAAGAGTAATTCCTGAGTGCAGAGCCAGGAGTTACCCCTGCACACTGCCAGGTGTGGCCCAAATACAAAACAAAAAATCAGTAAGATACCACCTCACAATTCTGCGAGTGACTTACATTGAAAGGAACAAGTTCTGGGGCTTGAGCTTTAGGACAGTGGGTAGACCACATGTCTACCTTGCATGTGGCCAACCCGGTTCAATCACTGGAATCTCGTATGGTCTCCAGAGCCCACCAGAAACGCACCCCTGAGCTTAGAGTCAGGAGTAAGTCCAGGTGCCACAAATTGTGGCCCAAAAATAAAACCAAAAGAACCAGTACTGGGGTGGAAAGAACCAGTACTGGGGTGGAACTTGCCTTGCATACAGCCAACTCTAATTCAATCCTTGTAATCCCATCTGGTCCTCTGAGCACCACCCTGAGTAATTCCTGAGTAAAGAAGCAGGAGCAAAGGAGCAAACCCTGAGCATCACCAGATGTGACTCAAAAACAAAAAAAAACAAAACAAAAAAAAGGGATCAAGTGGTGGTGAGGATGTGGGAAGAAGAAGCGTTAATGAACTTTTGGTAGCAACATTAATGAACACTGCGGTCATTTTGGAGAATAGTCTAAAGAAGTAACCTCTCCTTAAGAAGCTAAAAATAGCATTGTTATATGATCCAGCAGTTCTACTTTTGGGTCTCTATCTGAAGAACATGAAAACATTTAATACAAAAAGTTACACTCACCCTATAGCCACATTATGGAAACAAAGTGCCATAGATAGATGTATAAAGAAGTACAGTATAATGCTCTTAAGCTATATTAAAAAAGATAAGTTTTGCCATTCACAGCGAATGGAAGGAACTCAAGGGGATTAAGAGAAACAAGAAGAAAAAAGACCAGTAGTGGATTATTTCCCATGTGTGTGACTCAGTGATATAAAGCCAGTGGACAGAACAAAGGAAAAAATAACCAATGAACATTGCAAGGTTATCTGAGGACATGGAAAGGGATAGAAGTGAAGGGAGTATAAGAAGAGGTGCTATGTTTTAATTGTAAAAAGGGGGGAAAAGTGGGTCAGGAGC